AAATTTTGAGAATAAATTCGAGACGAGAGTATAGGACACGAGCCGCAGATTTTTCTGTAGTCTATGTGCTCATGTCGCCTAAATCCATGGAATGATCTAATTTTTCCAGATGCAGACCGTAAGTTTTCCAGCAGTCGTTGAATAGCCTGATGCTTTCAGATTTCGCTAGTAGCAAGATGGACTAAAGAATGTGGATGGCATGATTATATGGCAAGTTGGTATTTTACCTGTATTTTACAAACAATATATCTGCCACTGTATTCCAATTCGAAAGAAGGTTATAGTTTCCACTTGTTTTGTATATCTCTGGAGAATAATGATTATTACAAGCCAATACTTGTCTTTGTTCTTCATAACAATAGCTATCTCAATCATTCTAGACAGTTATATTGTAAATCAAAGAATACTATCTTTATATGCACAACGCAATGTCGGCATATGGTAGATCACAAATTCTGATAAAGAAAACAAGATGGAGGTTTATTATGCCAGTTCTTCCACAAGAGGACAGTATAGAATTCGAGTATTGGAAATCTCTTAACCATTGTATTTCACTATAACAAGTGGCTAGTGCTCGAATATTTTAAATGAAAGAACTAATAGTATTGAAACTAGTTCCCATCATTGTTAACAGACAAGGTTCAAGACATCGACTTTAATTGATTCATCAGTACTGTTATCTGAAGATCAGTTTACAAGAGAAAAGCCATTAGTTAGAGAGAAAGCAACATTCATTGCCACTTAACCAGTTTGGGAGTGGCAATGATGGGACATCAAATTCAAAACACATAAATTAAAACATTTTAAAATGACATTTATTCCACAAACAAACTGATATCAATACCCACATGTCATTGGAGCCAATACTGTTTTAAAATGATTATGAAGTGTGATGATTAAAAAAGGTACATGCTGATATGTTCATAATTCAGAGTGATCTTGTTAAATGACCCAGCTTTTGGATTGAATTATGGTGTGAATTCATGCATAATATGGAAAAATCCATAAAAAACAGAATATAGATTTTGATTTGTAAATTACATTTCATAACAATACCTATGTATATATATTATGAATCATTGGTCTACATTGAAGAGAGCTCTGAAGGTTTGATTACTTTTTAAATTCCAGAAACCATTTTTTGATTGGTGTTTTCAGGGACTATTTCAGTATCTTTCTCTGATGATTTTCTAAATATATTATGACTATTACTGAATAATGAAAATACACATCTATGAACATAAATCAAAAGGCGTATTTAATGATCTTCCAATGCCTTGGATCATTGATTACTTCGGACTGCTTTGTGAAGGAATTACCATTAATTATGTCTGTATTGTTCACATCTAAACAACTCACAAATCTAATAAACTAAAATAATTATAAAACCTTTGAACAGGGTAAAGCTAATTCCCTAGTAGGTAATAAATATCCAATAGAAGCCAGTAAGAGCTAATATAACCTAGGGACATTCAAAGAGCCTGCTATTTTGAGTAAACTACATATCAATTAGAATCATAACATTTTTATGAATCTTGTAATGTCATTGAAATTTGTACTTTTTATTTCCATTTAGACAGCAGAATAGACATTTCTGTCAGTTAACCACATAATAGAATCAGCTTCAAGCAGAATATATGCTTGTATCACAATGAGATGTGGAATGATAGACATGAATAAACTACACACATAATGTTAAATAATACCATCTTCATCTACATAGATGACAGTTTTATAACAACTTAAAGACGAAAAACCAAAACAATAATTAGTAGAACTCCACGAAATATCAATATAAGGCCTCAACTTTTCAGATACTTTTGGTTTTTTTGGCATTATTAGTAAAGAAATTACAAGACAAATAAGCTAAAAGGGATAGCATACACATTTGAAATAATGACTGTGTTGATACAATGACAGATATAATCTAATATAAAAACAAGCTGCTTTACACCCTATAAGAGTGTAGGATAGGGACTAAATAAACTATATTTGCACATACAAATTCAACATAAATGGATTTCCATCTGCCAAATTCAACATAATAGATTTCCAAATGTCAAATTCAAAATAATAGATTTCCACATGTCGGATTCACCATAATAGATTTCCAAATGTCAAATCCAACATAATAGTTTACCACAAGTGGAATTCGACATTATTGATTACCACCGGTCGAATTAAACATAATAGATTACCACAGGTGGAATTTGACATTATAGATTACCACAGGTCGAATGAAACATCATAGATTTCCAAATGTCAAATTCAACATAATAGATTTCCACATGTCAAATTCAACATAATAGATTTCTTCATGTCGATTTCAACATAATGGATAACAAGATGTCAAATTCAACATAATAGATTTCTACATGTCAAATTCAACATAATGGATAACCATATGTCAAATTCAACATAATGGATAATCACATGTCGAATTAAACATAATGGATAACCACATGTCGAATTCAACATAATGGATAACCACATGTTGAATTCAACATAATGGATAACCACATGAAAAATTGAACATAATGGATAACCACATGTCAAATTCAACATAATGGATAACCACATGTCGAATTCAACATAATGGATAACCACATGTCGAATTCAACATAATAGATTTCCAAAGGTCAAATTCAACGTAATAGATATTTACATAATGAATAACCACATGTCAAATTCAACATAATGAATAACCACATGTCAAATTCAACATAATGGATAACCACATGTCGAATTCAACATAATGGATAACTACATGACAAATTCAACAGATAACCACATGTCAAATTCAATGGATAACCACATGTCGAATTCAACATAATGGATAACTACATGACAAATTCAACAGATAACCACATGTCAAATTCAACAGATAACCACATGTCAAATTCAACATAATGGATAACCACATGTCAAATTCAACAGATAACCACATGTCAAATTCAACATAATGGATAACCACATGTCAAATTCAACATAATGGATAACCACATGTCAAATTCAACATAATGGATAACCACATGATGGATTGCCATAATATGTCAATATTTCTTGTAAGTCAAATTCAACATGATGGTTTGTACAAGTCAAATTCAACAAAATGATTTATGTCAAGATATATTATACTAAAGATCAATAAAGCACTATGTTGACAGAAACTCAATGATATATTTCTATGCCTAGTATTCTAAATTAATATTAAAATTACTACAGAATTACTTATATAAAACACCTGGTATGTTAGAAACTTTAGGTGGCATGATTCCAGTTACAATCTATTTAAAATTCCTGACAAGAAAAAGATCAAAATGCATTATTAATCCCTGAAACGATTATGGCAAATTCAGAGACAAAAAAAAAATCCTCGCATATTTTTGCGCATTCTGACAAATTGAAATTACAAATGATTTTCTAATTATGATAATTATGAACTTTGAATTATGCTACAGACCACATGATGGTATTAAATTAGCATTAATGAAAACAGAAGATTCCAATTTACGAATCATGCACACAAGAACAACTAAATAAAATATTCACACAAACTACATAACAATTAAAAAATTTAATTAAAGGGAATCAACCTTAAAAATATTTGCTTCACCAGTTAATAAAGATCTTAACCATCACTATTACTTTTCATAGAGAGAAAACTGAACATATGTTTATTTTCAATTAACAAAAAAGTAATGGTAAAGGTGATTGTAATACTTGTTTTCATGCCAATAATATCAAACAAGTTTGAATTTAGCTGAATCAATTAGTAGAGCAAATATCTAGATGTCTATATCCCTTTAAAGGAATTGCCAGGTCTATTTTCTAATTGGCTTCTCCATTCCAAAGCTAACACATACTTAAGAACAGCATATATCCTAAAATTCATTCAAGGTTATCTTGTGGTCCAAAATACTGTTGTTGTTTATTAAAACAAGCCAAATGAAAAAAGTAGACTGGGTTACTCCTTTAATTCTTGTTAAAAAATTTTACCTTTGCCACAACAGATGTTCAATAAATAATTTAGATATTCAAAACTATCCCTTAATTTATGCACAATACTCTAAAATATAGAGCTCAATATGTTACCATATATTCATGATATATTTATATTTTATTACTTTTAAATTGTTTTAGTATAAAAATCAATATCAAAGAGACAGATGCTCTTGGGGGGTTTGTTTTGGTCTTGAATATATGTAAATATTCTTCAAAAGTGCTAGAAATGTTGGATTTTTATTCATTATTTCTATACATATCTTTTATATATATCACAGCATATCTTAAATTGAAGAGTCATCATTTTAACATTCAATCGCGGATAAAACCTCTTATTCTTAACTTGATTGTAAATAACTCAAAAACCACGAATTAAATAACACTTATATAAACGGTCAGATTTAAAACCTCGTAAAATATTATATTATAATTATGAGGTTCAATGTTCCTTTTTCTGCAGATGAAAATGAAAAACTTTGCATACTGCACTATTATATGAGTAAATGGTTGAATAGGTCTGAGTACTCAAATTGTTATACAAGGTTTAAATTTTCAAAGAATGAAAACCATGTATAGCAGTAAAAGAAATTAATAAAAAGATTTTAACAAAATATTTTTTTTTGCGTTTTTCTCGAAAAGTAATTTAGCGTCATATATCGTTATACGAGGTTTCAAGTGGTCACCCACAATATATAAACAACTATATCCCTTTACACAATTCAATAAACAAAAGTTATTATCTTTCTTTTTAGTACCTGTTGTGGCAAAAGATAAAATAATCTAATCATCTTTCATGAGTCAAGACATTTTCTTGACAACAAAAGGACTTGACCACAATCATTTCCCCAATCTGATTAAAATGTGGGTCTTGTTTTTGTTTTAGATTTGCCTTGGAAACAGATTTTCCTTTCCTTTACACTCGTCAAAATTTTTTCAATGAAAACAGACCCTTATAATTATAAATTCTTCTCCCAAGCAACAATATAAATAAAATTCTACAATTTACATAAACAAAATAATAGAGGCAGAAAAGCACCAATGGCAATAAAAACTGGTAGTAACATAACGCTGGTGTCATCAGCAGCATAAGGATCTTTGGCTTTTGGTCCAGATGGTCGACGAGATTTGGATGGTTTTGGCATTTCATTTTCCTCTTCTTCCTCTTCTTCTATATCATCTTGAGAGTTCTCTCCACCTGGAAGTGGTGCTAACATAGGTACATCTGAAATTGGAGCATATATTTTTTTCTTGATATTATGTATATATATATATATCTGATGTATTTTGATGGCAATCAATCATTGAGGTCAAGGCTTATGGACAAAGGTGGATTCTAATTCCTTTGGAAACTGGAATCTATACAGAGCTTAAGCAATAGAAATCTACCAATTCATTTATAGCAAACAAGACAGTAGTGAAATTTAGTCCCAATTGATTTACCATTCATTTATTTTACCATTTTTTTTCTTTCATTAAAACATGAAAAGTGACTTACCATCTATATTTCCTTTTATAACATAAATAGCATTAACTTTTGGATTATCTAGATCACCCTTTAAAATAGATAAAATAATCATTCAACATGTCCTTCTAGGGCTGGGCGATACTGATTCAGGTAGATATCACAATATAAAGCATTAATATATCACGATATGGGTATTTATGGCTATATTTCTTAAACATTGTTTTTACAGAGTTTTGATACAAAATGTTGTTGTTTTCTATCTAAAGATTTTAAATGTAAGAAAAAATAAATAAATATCTCTTAAAAACACACAAGTCATGAAATCACGAAAGTATCTGTTACTTGTTAAAATTGTGTAAATGATGAATTTGACGATATATCACGATAGCTACCATATCATCACAATATGATGATATTTCAGTATTATTAAATTAGTGCATTTTACTTAGTTCAAAAACTTCAAGAAATACTCACTTTTAAAAATTCTACTGATATTTTACCATCTATCTGTGAGGTTTCTCCATTCACCCTTAATTTACCATTTTTAATAGTAAAAGGTATGATTTCATCATGAGCTACTCCTCTGCCTACTTTAGCAAATATATCTAATTCATTTACAATAGTATGTTCTCCATTTAATATCACATCAAATACCTAGAATTGTTAAAATACAACACTAAATAAAGTAGTGTACAAACATATGTTCCTATTTGGCCTATAAGCCTATCAGTGGATTTTTTTTCAGAATTAAAATAAAACTTCAGGAGCCTATTTCTCAAAAATTCGTACAACTACACTTAAACGTCAAGTGAAGAAAAGAAGTTGTTTTGACGTTATCAAAAAGTTAATTTTTAACGTTAATCTACAATATTTTGAGAAACAAGATCCAGGCCCCCTTAAAATAATCAACAATTGCATCTTGCAAGTCTTAGCATGTCCCAAATCACAATAGGACTAATTAGCTATAAAAGTGTTTATTTGGATGATTATTTCAATTGTATTATTATTCAGGTCTGTTTAAAAGTTTGAAGCCAGATTTCAGATGACAACAATGTAAATTTCAATAGAGAGAAAGAGAGCATTAAAGATGACCCAATTGTCACCAAAATATTTTATCCTGTGCACCAGAAAGTGCAATTCATTTTTATCCTCTAGAATCCATTACGAGCTGTGCAAACTTGAGTTTTATAAGTGCAGACTTAAAGGGACAGTTGTGCCATTTTGGGAAAGAGGGTTGATTTGTATCTTTTATCGGTCCAATAAGATGCTGTTACATCAATAAAGCATCATCAACATCATCCAAAGTGGTGACAGTGGCATGACATTAACGATTATGTCTGTCTGTTGTGATGACAATTATGACAAAGAGTGTTTCATTACAGGTCTTTTATGTCATTTAAGGCATAAGCTTCTAATATTTACAAAACTTAGGCTTTCAAGTTACTTGACCTGAAAACTTGAAAATTAATGAGTATTAGGTATTATATAGAAGATACCCTTGTAGTACAGATATAAATTCTGACAATTCGTGAGTATAAGGAGATAATCTTGTACAGAACTACTGATACTGGCTTTACTAGTAGAACTCGTATTTATACAATACAGATCTATAACATGCCCTATGGCGATACTGAGTCTTATTTGTTGTATTGACATGAAACAAGGACATCAATCAACAAGTTCAATAAATCAATTGACTTTTTATTTGCTAATAAAATAAGGGCCTACAGGCATTCCTACATAAGACATCTGTCAACCACTGTGAATGTCATCCATATTAAAAATACTTGTCAGCAAAATCTTAAAATGCATCAACTTAAATATGTATTTGTGTCATATATTGACTCCATGGTTAGTAAATATATATGGTTAATAATTCCACATTTAAATAGTCACACTTCTTCTAGAAATTACGAATGAATATGACCAAATTATGCAGGTTAGGCCTAAACTAAATTTCTAAAAAAAAATCATGCTATTGATAGGTATTTTCATCAACATAAACATTTCAATTCTAGCGGCCGGTTTACCAGCCACAAACTTATGTAACATACATAACTAGCCTAAGAAGGAAATCAATCGGGACCAAAAAATGATGTCAGATTACGCAGAATGTCGGAATACTTAGATGTTGGATATCTGTGATGTTGAGTACACTGTATAAGCTTACTGATTATAATAATTCATATTATTGTGTTATCGTTTTGGCAGGTCTGTTACCGTTTTAACCAAATTTCTTGTAACAGTTTTGGCAGATCTGTTACCGCTTTAACCTAAATACCTTGGTACCGTTTTGGCAGATCTGTTACCTTTTAAACTGATATTCCAACCAGGCAGCCAGTGAATCAGTTGTTACTAGGTGACATCACATACCGTAACGTTAAGGTCACACAAAGTTAATGTCATATTACTCATAGTTCTGGGTTTATGTTTTATTTCATTTACACTCAGAGATTAAAGGGTTTATGACAACCAAAGACACAGTTTTATGACAAATTGCCATTCAGAAACAGTGACACTTGCCACAGTAGGAAGCAGGAGAAAAGAGACACACCCACCTTTTGAGATGGTGCAGTAAACCACACTTCACTAAATTTCAACACTAAAACATAGTCTCCATCTTTTGTCACCGGTATATCATAACCAAATGTCGATCTATGATACCTTTCGGTTTGATATAAAATCTGATCCTGTGGTACCACTCTCTGTATCAGCAAACTTTTACCATAATCTGATGCAAAACCGATCTGCAATGTGTCAGCTTGGTAACGTATACCGTGTACATCTGTGTGAGAAGAACCACCGCAATTTACTGCCCACGCAACTTCTGGGTTGCAAAATGTCTGTCCAAATAATAGTGCTATGCATAGAAAACAAAATAAAATTCCCGGCTGTGATAATTTTTGTCTTAAGAAGCCAATTACAAGACCGGTTACAGAAAACATCTCTAGCCACGCTCGTCTTTTTCCTTGACAGGAAGTAAACACTGGGCGCTCGTGTGCTATAAAGGGGAGTAACTCCAGTTCATCTCTATACTTAGACAACATAAAATGCATGTGCCCGTAAATTACTGCAAATATTCAAAAGTGATTTTTATGTTCAGATCATCGTAACAGAAAGAAGCTAAATCGTTGTCCCTTGCTTATATGGGCTGTAAATCGGCTTAATATATATATATATGAGTAAGAGTTTCAATTTGATTTACTATTCGATTAGGACGCAGTAATGTTCCACAATGTGGGTGCTAGACCAACTACGTAGATATACAAGATTGTAAATGCAAATGGATAATCAAATAATAAAGAAGTCTGCTTCTAGATTATGAGAAGTTAACAATCTCATTAAAGGAACATGAAAACCCTTTACATGGACCATAGAATAATGCCCATTTCTTTTAAGTTGTTGCATTAATTAACTTTTCTGGGAAGTTTATCTTGCCATGAAAGTTTCACAAGTTAGCCATAGGACGCCTTTCATTATCGCACACAAATACCTTGATTGACTATATCAAAGCTATATATATAATGATCAATTGGTCAAAGTCGACTTAATTCACTTATATTGTGTTCTCTAATACTTATGTATTATGTATGTAAACCAGTGAAGCGTAACTAAGACCCTTATGCTATTATTATAATATTTATCAAAAATCCTTTAGCAAAGTGACATTTGGTATATATAGACGCTTTCTAGATGTCACTTAGCGACCACACATTGATATGAGATGGCTCTCCACCGAGGAAAGTGTTTTATGAAGACAATTTTTGAATAAGGATTAAAATGCTGTGAAATTCCAAGGGGCATATATTTGAAATATTCACAAAAGGTAAGGTATATTGTTAATAACTGAATAATCCGATGTAGGCCCCTACTAATATTCAAATTGATACACTTACAGGCCCCGTTTCACATGAAAATCTATAAACGATCGAAATTAACATTACAATTTTCTTTAAAAGTGTATTTAGTGGGTTGCCAGCAATTGGCTAAGCCCGTGAATTTCAATCTGATCCATCAACGGACTTATTAATGAAAAATCACAGTTGCCGACAAGTGCCGTCATTTCCTTACCTCGACCCGGGCCATCTGCATGGGACTATCTATTAAAAATAGCCATAAACATAGTTGCTAATATTCTGACCATAGCAGTCGTACAAATTTAATGATAAAGTCTCCAGATCAGAAATAGGCCTATATGAATACTGTATACAGACTTACATACAACAATCAAGTCAGATTAGTATTTGACATATATTCATTAGCACATACGGAATTACATAAGCCGCCAATGAGAACAAATTAAATAGGAGTGGCATTGTATCTCTTTCGTTTATATTAATTTTGTCCAATTCATAATTATTGGCTTAGAAATATTAAAACGGAATACGAAGTTTGTTTATACAACTGATATTTAGCCTGTATTCCTCAGACAACTGAACTTTTCTGTTTTAGAACAATCATGGCCGCAGTACAACATCAGGAAGAGAACCTTTATAGAGCACCCATCATACAACGACGGTAAGTAAATGGCATCTTAACAGTGTATTTTTAGTACCGATTTGGTGTGCTTTCGAATCGCATTCGTTCCGAAACCTACCGGAAGTCTCTGGCTTTTTAATAAAAGTAACAGAAGTCGAAATCATGGTCGAGATAATGTGACCTACGAAGTAATAGCAGGGATCCCAGGGATATCTTGTCTATAAAATGAATCATTTTTAACTCAAATAAACGACCTGCTTTGAAAACTCCTGAAAGTAAAACAATCAAAATTATATTTCGAGGTCTTCTGCGTGGAAATCATACCTAAAATTAGCTCGACTTGCGTATACACCCCAACAGGATAGCTATTTCCGCCTAATCGTACCGATATGACACCGATACCCAGTAACCTTACAAGCAGTTTAAACAGAGTTAGTATGGTTTTTAGTGCTTTTTACAGTTCACCGAGTTTGCAGTAGTTGTGACATCAGAAAATAATTTATCTCCAATTATTAGCCTATTGTTCAATTTACTGTTTACAGTCGATGGATTAGAAATCAATGCCAGTTTTGCTCCTGATTTCCTTTTTCCGTTGGAGAGACATTGTTCAAAACTAGAACAATGTTCATAAGATCTTTGGATGATTAACTAGCGCGTTTGTCATCTAATTGAACAATCGCTAAAACTGCTTTTGTGTTGAATATTTTTAATCAATGGATTTGTCCAACTGTAGGTTCTTAAGACAGGTGAACTCTCGATATTAAAAAGCATCTAAAGTAGTTTCAAACCCCATCAGAAAAAAGTTTTCCTTCCTCCCTTCAGGCTTTAGTACACAATATTGTATTTTTTCTCAGGGTGGGGGCCACATGGGTTTAGACTCCCTCTCCCCCAAGACATTTTGTTCTTCTGCTTTCTGAGGTCCCCCAGTTTGTGGAAGATTTAATAATTTCAGTATTCAGCACACAATATTGCCCTTGTATTTTTTTCTCAGGGTTGGACCATATAGGTTTGGGCTCGTACAACCTGTTTCATTAACAAGGGTAAACTGGTACGCTCTGCCAGTTTATGTTACATTCTTCGGAACATGGAATGCGGAAGACAATTTCTGCGTCTTATGTATGTCAAACGTAATTTCCTTTTTTATATGGAAGAGGGGAGGAGGGGATGGTTGTCGAGGAGTGTCCGCTGAAAAAAAGTTGCAATTTTTTCCCGAACTTTTCCCATTACCGAAATCATATTTAGGTAGCAATATGCCTCAACCCACCATTCTCCAAAAAGTCGTATGGAATAACATGTCGCACATTGTTATAGCCAATTTTTTAAACCAATACCCATACCAGGTAAAATTACCATACCTCAAAGGGAATATTGTCACGATGATACGCTGACGGAGTATATAAAACCAAGTTCGATGCTTTTAACTATAAAATTCATGAAAAAAAAGACAGTTTTTGAAAAGTTAAAATGTATATTTGAATGAATGAAATACCATGTATAAAATTTGATAAATATTTGGCATTAGATGTTTGAAAGACATTATTTTGTATCCCATTTTAATTCTTCAATCCTCTTTCTTCCCACAAGTAAAACATCTTTCAATGACTTTTTGATATCTTTTTACAAATCTTTGTAATAATGTCTTCTTCTCGCGAGATACTCCTACATAAAAATAATGAAAACATCTTAAGGAAATATAATGAGTCCTATGCCCTTCTTCCCTGCAAATGATGGTGGGCTATACGAGGTAGTGTGAATTGAGGATTGTTTTGCTAGAACAAACTGCCAGGATTCTTTAACGTGAACACGGGAGCTTGGCTTATTGTCTCATCCATCCCATTCCGAAGCTTGTAATAGTCCATGACCTGCATCACTGTCAGCCAGAAACCGATTTAAATAAAAATCCAGATACTATCTCAACACGAGCCGAGCCAAAATAAACATATTCTTTAACCCACTTACCAAGTCGAAAGTCAGTCCTCTCTGAACAGTTTTCGTTCCTCTTCTCAATTGCCGTTTTAAGTTTAGTTTGAACTTCGGGAAGTTTGACCACTGTGATTTGATAACGGCTTTGGTTGATAACAGACCATCCTTGTTGGAGAAGATTGTTTATAACTGGTTCGTGTCGTTTGGTTTTCTTTGAGGATTTTTCTAAAATTATAATAGCCATAGATCCATACGCATTCCAACTCGATAGGATTTAGTCGTTTGAACTGAAATTTGCTTGAGTTATTGCTGGTTTACTTCAATTTGAGCTATCGATGTAAACTTCATAATTGGTTGAAAATTTTCAGAAAATGAAGAGTGAAAGTTGGTGGCTGTTTTTTTTTTTTATTAAATCCATAATATAATGATGACTTCGTGAACTGTTTTTGTTTCTTTGTGAAATTTATTAAAAACCTACCGTGTTTAACATTTTGTCGCTTCTTTTTTCCAGTTTTGTCAGTTACTTCATTGTCAAGTTTCACCTCCTTTTTCTTTTGAGGTAAATGAAGTTCTGCAGGAGCATCAAACAACTCACGTTTCATGAGATTTTCACGTAAATTTGCAACATCAGCCATTACTGTAAGAGAGCAACCAAATCCATAATTAAGAAATATCATTTAATCTTTGAAAGAGACGCCTATTAAAAATATAATGTGAAATAAGGCAAAAATTACAGCTCAACAATGGTACTTACCGAGTGTTTGATGTGTCAAACGATTGTAAAGGTTGATTTTTAAGACTGATTTCAAGTAAATTGAATCTAAGCGTCTTAATATTCCAACGAATTGTCAAATAGTGTAAGCATTATTACCGAACGTTATTATGACGTCATAATCAATAATGGTTTGCAAAATACTTTAATATGCTGATTGGTTAATAGACGCTCTATCCCAATTTATCCTCAAAATTCACAAACTTTTATATTTCTACGTTTCAAATTATTTGACAGATTAATATCACTCAGCCTATATGCAAGCAATGAATTTCGCCAAAAACACGCAATGCTTAGCAACATATTGTATTTAAGGTTAGCTTGTGAAGGGTGATGGAGTCAGCTAGAAGACTGATACAATGTTAAATGATAAATGTTGGCCTGAAAGCTTAAACAATTCACAGCGATCTTGTGAGTAGCTAGCTAGACTATCAGCTTCCAAATCTTGAAGCCATTTGCCCAAGCTGCTTGAAGAAAAAGGAGTCAGAGTCAGTTCGCCAAGGGTTGAAGGTTTAATATCTGTGGTTCTTAACCACCCATTCTGCGTCAGATATTCTCGAAGTTGTTCCATTGTTGAACAGTTCTGGAATATATTGCAACTACGGTATTTGGTAGTGTAGGCTAGATTTGTGTTGCAAAAAAATATGATTTAAAGGATTCATTATAAATTTCCAAAATCACTTTTCGCCACACAAAACAGAGTGGATATAAAGCATTTATCTTAACTTATCAATAATATAGTGCTGTGATCGCCGACGTGAGGATCCTTAAACTATAGCATTGGCAAGCCTACAACATGCTGACTTTGTAACTCTATGAAAAAATATTGCCCATCAAATTCTTTTGGGATCATCTTTCGACTGGCACAAACTACACAAAACATCTTTAGGATCTCAAGGATCTGTCAGTAAGTTAAACCGACCAACCAAGTGTGATAGTTAAAAATCTTGTTCAAGGTGACTTACCAGAGAAGGTGTTGAAACAGATTGGTTTTTAAGATGAAAACTTGTAGTTTTTATGTGGAGAGTGAACACTATACGTCTAAGTATTTCTCAGAAATACTAAGAAATGACGCTAACGTTATTGTGACGTCATAATAAAAAATAATGTGCTTTTTCATCCAACCAATCATCTAGAATCTCTATCAACTTCTTCAGAGTCAATACCAGAACATTAAATACTTTTATGAATAGGAAGTAGAGATGTTCTAATGACTTGGAAAACACCAGTTTGTTTCATATAATTAATTCAATTAAATTATAAGAGAATAATTACAATCAGAATTCCAATGAGTGACCGATCAAGAAAGGTCAAAAAGTATCTTTTTTGTTTATCCAGACTGTATATACATGGGCATTTATGATTGGTTAAAACTCTAAATTATATGCAATAAGAACATAATGACATGATTAAGAATACACGATAATTCATTAGAAAAACCAATTAATAAAATAGTGTGCTTAATTTGACACTAAAAAATAAGGAAAACCATCTTTAAAGCTTTGCAGATTAAGGAACATAATTAACATTGCAAGACATCATAATAGATTGAGCACTTGGCGTGGAAATGAATGTTCCACTTGAGGACAGTTTGGTTTTAACGAACTTCTGCGTCACTGTGAAATTTCCAATCAAAACTTTTGCGAATCGTTGTCAGGTATTAGAGAGCACCAGCTTTTAGATGACAGGCGGTCAGTCTTGACGGCAGTGGTGTCCGCATTTCTATAATCATAATCTGTTCCTTGTGGAAAGGGTAAGCCTGCATCACCAACACGTATTTTGCGATTGCTGTTTGGACAAATACCCACACATTAATCTGGTCGAATTAGACTTGCATCAGTCAGTGATTCCTTACAAAATAGATACTTTTAGTTGAAGAAGTAAAAACTCTTGAACGATAGGTTTGAAAAATCTGTATAATTCTCCTCTCCTAAATTTTCAACTTTTGTAAGATAGCTTTGTAAGTCAGTCGATTTCCAGAATAATTCAAAAAGAATTGTCCCTTTAAAATTCCCCTATATTTTGGATAAACTGAACCATGGTCCAATATATTTATTGATAAGGGCTGTGCTCTTGAATTATACTGTACCGATATTACCAAAAGACAACGGTACTCTTTATTGATTGTTATACATATTACAATACAGACGTGGAATTACACTGTCCTATTATCTCAAAACTCATCTGTTAAAATAATTATCTTTTCATCAAGAATGATATAGTATGGGCCGTTTAAGATATAATTCTTTTCTTTTTTTTTATTACTCAAAGGAGTTACATTCGAACTACATAATATGTACCAAGAGAGAGTGAACATTTTTCAATTTTTTTTACAGAGCATTGTGTCTTTTGTTTTTGGTTTCAAGAATAGCAAAGCACTCTTGGAACAATTTGATACTTAATAACATTTTGGGATTTTGATTTTACATGTATGTACTTGCAGAAGACTTAGTGTATTTGATTGAATCCAAATTATTATTGGAGAACACATCATAAATGTGATGGCATTATATTTTTTAGTAATGGCGGAAAGGAGTTGGCCAGTATTTCATACAGTACACTTTAGTAAAGGATTTCATTTTTTCAAATTCAATTTGGACTAAAAGAAAAGTGTCGTGAATTCATATAGAGCAAGTATAGAATTTCTTACATTCTGAATGGAAAACATATTATCACAACATGAAACACCTGGAACAAAATATTATTCAACAAGCTCAGTAATACTTCAAGTAATGAAAAATTTCCCCCATAGTGAGTTTAATACATGTTTATCCGTATAACTCAACACAAAATTGTTTTGTCAACTAATGGCTGATATGCGTTGACTAATTAACAGACTTCTGTATCGTCCGAGAGATATTTTCTAAGATCAATATCGATTCGATAAAAGCTTTATTTAAAAATGAAACAAAATCCTCATTAAACAATGGTAGACAATCAATTATCATCTCTATTTAGAATTTCATTTCATACCATCAATGATCTTAACTTCTAAATTTGTTCTAATCTTTGTACGAATTCCTTCCTAACATTATAAAGGAAGATCTAACTTTGAACATTTACAGTTTTAATGTCGCTTTAAAGATTATCTAAAATTTACAGGAAAAAGTAGGACGTAAAACTCAATTCCTTTAATTTCATTTGGTACCTACAGAAGCAAAGGGCACGAGATATTATTGGATATTTTTGGGGATTTGCTGAAAGTCTTGTTATTGACAAACTGATATTTTGAGCAATATAATGTTATGGATGTTACGTACTTTCAAAGGTCAATTTTGCATAAAACTATGCCAATTTTCACATCATTTTTTTGCCTTCTCCGACTTGATTGTCATTCCTATTATCTGGGTTATATCAAATGTCTTTTTATGATCTAAAATAGTCACTAAGTATTTATTTAGTATAATATGACGGTACTATTCTATTAAATAAGTCGTTTGTTCTGTACAGATGTCAATATTTATTGACATGGTGTCAAGTCATTACCCTCGACTAATGTCACAATAGTAGACTATTTATTATCATTGATTGATAGTCTCACTAATTAGCCTTTGGAGAATTCTTATATCATATTTACCTATTCTCGACTCTCTCTGTGTTCGTATGGCTCTAGGGGTATATTCAGGATAATTGCTGCTTTTTCAGAAATCAATTTCACAGGCTTTCATGCAATACATTCAATCTGAATTTAATGGGTTCGATAAGTTTCATTAAACAATTCCACTATTTTGAAATCTCAACCTGTCATAAAAGTGCACCTATTTTCATATGTAATGATTATTTACATTAAAGGAGTGTTTTTCGGTGCAAATATAGAACATTTTTTTGGTCTTTTAGTATAGCATTCTTCTGGAATAAATCTGAAGAGTAACTAGCCATTAAAATTGCTTAAAAATGGCGGATTGATGATGGATGCGTACAACAACATATGATTGTTATCTTTACATTATGTCAATGCTATATTAATTCCAAAAAAAGAGATTATCTTATATTGTTGGCAAGTGTTTCGGATATATAGTCTGCCGTCTGAACACTTCATTTGGACACACTTGTTTCTTAAATTGTTCAACAGTGTTTGTTATCTTTTAGATCTGGAAATAGTCGATTGCGGGTAGAAGGTGACAATGGACCAATAAGATCAACCTATGATGTCAGTAATACATCTACACAACTTATACTACTCAATAACAGATATTCTAAGGTAATATTTTTAAATATAGGCCTACCTTGCTTAAAAAGCATTACAAATTACTTTGAATTACACGATAGTTTGTTTGGTACAGGACGAGTTGAATTTAACGATGGCTATTCTGGTGGACAAAAGTGTCCCTGTGATCATTCTTCAGTCTATTAGTCCCCAAGTGACTGTGTATACCAAATTACACTGCATAATTTAAAATAATTACTTCATAGTCCTATAATGAAGAATTAAAAAGTTAATGGTGACAAAATCGTGAAAATCGAACTTTTGTTGAAAAATATAACCACATGATGTTGGCAAAAAAGGAATAAGACTACTTGCAAAACGGTCATTAATTCAAAAACAAAATTGATAACTGGGAGAAAGATTTAAGTAACCCAGTTTTTCTTAAGCTAGCACATGGTCTAACTTTCTATTTCTATAGATGTCTTTTCTATTATATGGCACAGTCTCAAGAAAAAAGACCACTCGTCATTTTAACTTTCAAACGCGGATTGCCTGGACACAAGTGGATTTGAAGACTCAAATTTCGACTGCGATCTGTGAACACTATTACTGATTAGCTTAACTAAAAGAATCTCATTTCTGATACTCATGTACGATTGGTCAAACGGATGGCGAACTTGTCATTTTTAAAGCCTTTGCGTTTAGACGATTTGATTTTTGTCACGTCATATAATATATATTAAGCAATATCTCCATATAACAGTGTATCTCTTTACTTTCAAATATTTATCTGCCTGTTTAGTTCGGAAAAGGTATTGATTTAAATTGAAATAGGTTAAAAGTCCATTGTAAATGATATTAAAATGTAGGTAACTGAGGTGTTTAACTTATGATTACTAAGATTATAGTAAGATTCGTGTTTTGACCTGCCTAGGAAGTCATAGTTGTATTGCTATAATCCGAGAGTTAAAGTTTCTGGATAAGATTTAAGATTAGATAAACCTAGTTGAAGTTAAAATAGGATCGTAGATGATAACGATGAGGATTGTTAACTTATAACTTATTTACTTTTTGACTTTTTATCTTTATCCAACTTAGTATTTATAAGTAATCACAAATTGTTTATTATCTATTAATATATAAAATCCGTTAAATAAGTATAACTTATTACACATAGCTTGATGACATATAGCGTACGTCGTAATATAATAATTCATTACATGTAACTCTTCAACACGTATAACGCATTATTATGATAATAAGACATAATATTGTGACTTTTAACAATATGTAGAATTCTATTACATATAATAATATACATTATCTTAATATATTTAAGCTTTTTAAAATTATTAAATGCATTATAAAACTTATATTCAAAGATTTGAAATATTATTGGCAGAACCAAAATGATTAATTTCTTCTTTTGTGAGTCAGTCGTTGACATTACACCCATACATCCCTCCTTATCACATTCTGACATCCATTCCGACAGACAGATATTCGGATTACGTCATATCAATTTAGCTCTATATTAGGGCCTATTTATCTCCGACAGTCTTTTACCTGGTGTGTTTTGATTAATAGTAGAGTAGTATACAAGCCTTAGTAACAAATGCTAGCTAAGTTTAATAGACTAAAATATTTATAAACTAATGCCGTATAATGGATTTGTTTTGTTTGATTTCATTTATAATATAAGTAAAGAATGACGAGTAGAATACAATCAACTCGTCGCCGTAAGGTAGGCTTTAAATTTTGTTATTGAAATAAGAAATTGTATTATGATATACCTCTATACCTATACATGTAGTCTTTATAAACATATAATGTGCAAAGTTTGCAGTATGCATTTATTTCAGTATAAAAAACGAGGTATATTATAGCCTACCTGGAAATATATTAGAAGCTATTTATATTTATGTATCTTCTTGATCCAAAAGAATTTGTTTAAGAATAACGAAGTTTACGTAAACGTTTTGGTTTTTAAAAAAAATTAGTTAATTCTTTAGTATTAGTCCTGGGGCACATTTCTCTAGATTTTGGTGTTTACTTTTCTTAAATTTGAGCTAAATGATTTTCTGACCTACGAAAAAAAACCCAGAATACCCTATAATATGAGGCTTATCTATTTGTCTAATTTACCTGAATATATGCCTGCTGTAGATGAAGGACCCATCGAGTATAGTTTAAATGAGCAATTTCATAAATCAAACATTGATACACCATAAAGCTGCAAATGACTCGTTACTGGTGATCTTAAAGCTGACGAACCCCCAATCACCAAACAAACCAGTATATTATTGAGTGTATTTTCACTAACATCGGCCCGGCAACCTATGACTCTTACATCAATACCATCAAATTCGAAAGATGTTTAACATATCAACATCAACCAAACAGTTCGCAGAGCACCACATAAACCAAACAGGTCGCACAAATATGAGCATGCGAACATTGACAACTCGTGACTCGTGGGAACATTATCATTCCAACATCACTTTAACAACTCTTGAATCCAGGGACTACTATCACACCAACATCAACAAACCAACTCATGACTCGAGAGAAGATTAACACACCAACATCAATCAACAACTCGTGACCCCAGAGAAGTTTAAAACACCAACATCAACTTTACAACTTGTGACTCGACAGATTTGAACACATCAACCTCAACCAAATTAATAAGTCACACAGTAGAACTCGAGTGCCCCAGTAAGAGCATCAATAGTCTGAAAAAGTTTAGGTCTTAACCATTTCTCTAGTTCTGGATGTTACCAGATGGTTGCACGAATGACAAAATTCGTCAGTGGAATGCAGTTCGATTAATTCTTATCATTTTGTCATTTTAGGATGTCAATCGTCTACGAGGCCAGTCTGCTAGAAGTCGTTCTATAGTGTAAGTTGTTTTATAGAAATATATAACCGTGACTTTATAAGTATCATGCCTACGGTTTATTACTTATGTAAAGTCGAAATTTTTCCACTAGACCATTTTCCAGAAATAACCACAGAGCTTTAGTTTTCTTTCTCTTTGAATGTTTTATACTGTTTACATAAATATTTGATCACAGAGAATTGTATAGACAGTATAATATGCATGTTAGTTTAGTCTGGTAATCTAATCTTCCCTTTCTTTTACAGTATTCCTGATCCTATTCGTCATTTTCTCTCAGGTAAATATCATTATTAATAACATTTCGACAGGAAGACACCAGTCCATACATTAAAGTGATATACTAGGCCTACGTCTTAGAATGAACATAAAATTTAAGTTCTCAAGAATGGTCAATATGAGTAGCCTATATATTCATCAGTGAACTTAAAAATCTGGAAAATTCATAAAACTAAGTAATTATTGAAAAACGTTTAATCTTAATATTAAGCTTTTTTCAATAGTTAATGGCATATTTATGGATGATAACTAATTTTTTTTTGGGATTTATCGGATTATATAAGGATCCTGTTATGTTATAATTATGATGATGAATATAACATATTCATATTATGCATATTATGCTCTTGTTGACCACGTTTAAAATTCTTAATGTTATGTTCATTAGAAGTATTCCTTTTAGATAATCGGTTGTAAATCTTGCTTCGAATGTGCATTGTATGGGTATTTACGAAGAAAAAAAATATTGAACATATACTTACATCCAGGGGCACATTTAGAAAATGCTGAGTTACTATCAAAAAGTTTAATTGACACCCTAGCTCATTCTATATTAGTGTTTAACCTTTTGCTTCAGAATCGCCGATAGACAGGAAGACTCATGAGCAGTGTTTTAGTACAACCAGTTCTTCACTGAGTCATTATAGCTACATGGATAATAATCACAGATACAGGTTAACTCAGGGTAAGTTTTAATACAACCAGTTCTTCACCAGGTCATTATAGCGACATGGATAATAATCAGAGATACAGGTTAACTCAGGGTAAGTTTTAATACAATCAGTTCTTCACTAGGTCATTATAGTGACGTATAGTGACATGGATAATAATCACAGATATAGGTTAACTCAGGGTGGGTTTTAATACAACCAGTTCATCACTAGGTCATTATAATGAATGTATAATAATCACAGATATAGGTTAACTCAGGGTAAGTTTTAATACAACCAGTTCTTTACTCGGTCATTATAGTGACGTATAGTGATCACAGATACAGATTTATTCGGGGCATTTTACCCAGTCCCTGTAACTTGCTTGACATTGTGTGTATGTTATGAATTTATAATAAAAGGAGTAGAAGTTAATTTTATTTTACTTGCCTGTGAGCATGATACAAAACTATATGAAAATTGCATGCAAAACTACTAATAGAACAAGTTTAGTAATCATTTTTAGCTAGTCAACTGCTGATAGTCCACGACTCTGAGTATCTCTGAACAGCCACCTGTTCATCTATTTGTCCAAGACCATTGACTGGTATACATGATAATAAAAAAAGTAGATTGGAAAAAACAGAGTTCCACAAATGGCTGTATCAATTTATCTATATATATTTTTTTACTTCAGGTTATATACCGGTCAACACCAACCGACATGCTGCATGTTCAGGTCCACGGCCCATAGATAATGAAAGACCGCGAACAAGACACCGTATGTTATCTGAAAAGACATTATCCAAGTCAGTTGCCTACTGTCCAGACCTCACTAAAGGAGAGAAGCTGTATTTATACAACATATCCAGAGTATATAGCACTAAGAATATGCACGATATCAACCAAAGAAAATATGCAACAGTATTAAGCCAAGAGGAGCAAACGGGTGAGACAAACTCGCTTTTTGTCTCATCACAGTGACTGGGCACAACCTTATAAGCAATATCAAGTGCCTTACGTATCGACAGAACTCTTGATCTCATATAGTATTATGTTTGTCACAAATATTGCATCCGATGATGACGCTAGAAAGGAATATTATGATCACTTACCCGAAAGAGCCCATGGGAAGAAACAAGATTACTAACCCGACGGAACATCTCAGACACAGGAACTTGCAGCTGTCTTACAGTTGGACATTCCTCCCGATCCCATTAAGATTTTACTTGACACAGATAATATATGACGCTACTTATAAATATTATATTTTCCCCCTACCTAATCTAATAATACTTTTCAGGTAGATACAAACAAAGAGACATCAACAAATATTGGAATTATATTCGATCACCAAGACAGACTAGTTGGGGTTCTGGAAAATCTTCTTTCACACCTACGAGAACTAAATCTGCACCACCTGGTAAACGACGGACGAAAAAAATTGAAAGGTAGCTGCCATCAATTCATTTCTTTTTATTCTAAATTACGTATTACCTGACTTTGTTGATAATCATTATACTATCACAACCATATAGAGATTCACCCAAAAATTATCTTGAACTCCACTTAATTATTATTAACAATTTCAGACCCCAAACTAGAATGGAAGAATTATCAGATTATGAGTCACAAGACACGCCAAGAGGCACCCAAGAAGAACAGGCGTCAAAGAAGAAGAAGGGAATTATTGAGACTGTACTGGCTGAACCTGAAGATCGCAAGAGTGAAACTGGTAGTTATCATAGTCGTGGTAGTAAAAATTCTAATACTTCCAAAACCAGACGCCGTAGATCATCATCAAGGGCATCCAGTAGCTCTAGCTCCAGAAGTAGATCAAGCTCGTCAAGTTCGAGTTCCCGTTCCTCTCGCCGTTCTTCTTCGAGTGATACAGAAACCAAACACAAGCGCGCCAGTGATGGTGAGACAGTGGTTCAAAGAGCTAAAGATGAATCCCAAAATAAGGAGTCAGACACACAAGAGAGCCGAGCTACTGATAATGAAATGACAGGACGGCCAGATGCTAGAGCGTCAGACACTGGTGTTAAAGATACATCTAGAAGAAAGACAGAAGCGTATTCAAGTATGCCGGACAGTCGGGGAAATGATTCACATTTAAGAGAAGGTCATGGAAGACCGAAATCGAGATTTGGAAGAAAGGATGCGCGTAAGTATCACTTTTTAAACTGTGTTGTTGAGATACGTGTTTATGGCATAAAATGAGCTCTATTATAGTCCGTTTCAAATTACAATAGATGTGATTGACAAAATATATACCATAACCTGTGGACAAATTATATATCAGTTAGTATTTTTGATTTTTTCCCGTCTACGCACTGCTCTTTTGGACATTGGACAACCAATAAACAAATTTCAACCCAGAAAATGTGACATGTTTCATGTTTGTGTCTTATATTTTCAGACAAAGATGATGATGATGATTCAGATAGTATCAGTCTAACGAGTAAATCCAGTTCTTCCTCTTCCCATAGCTCCAACGCTGATAAAGCAAAGCCTACCAAGACATCCAAGAAACCCATGGATAAAATCGAAGAGAAAACAAAGATTGAAAGTACTTATGCAACAACAACGGAAGCCAATCAACAAAGGGAATGTGATACGAGCGTTTCAGAGTCCAGAGATTATTCTCAAATCACTACGACCACTGATCATAGTACCAGTGTTTCATGTAAACACGAATCTGAAAGTTCTCAAAAAGCGACGGAATCTAAGAAGAAAACTACCAAATCTAGATATATGGAGAGTCGCAGAACACGGACAAATTCAGAAAGTAGCCTCACACAATCTATTTCCAGTAACAAATCTTCGGACAAAAAACCAAGGCAAAGAAAATCCAGTCGCACCAGCATTAAAAGTAACGGATCTATCAAAAAAAATCCAACAGCCGAGAGTGGCAAGCAAGTGAAAACAGAAGCAACCACGAAATTAGAGAATGTTATTGAAGATGGGGAACAAGTGAAAACCAGGACGACCTATCGCAGTATTTCAATAGAAAGCCAACTTAAAACTGGTGATTGTCCCTCCAATGATAAAGATGTGGATAAAATAGAGTATTAATAATTCAAAATTCTCTTATGCCAATTTCAATTATTAGAAATAATATAACGAGTAGAATAATCTGATTAAGTCGATGGATTCCAGTGGAATGATATTATTTCATCACCCCATCTCCACATCTAGGTAAGGTTTGACATCCAAGGACATGAAGGCAAATATCTTTCTTATGAAAACGACGACCAAACATTTTAAGAGTCTGTATTTTTTTTTTGAATTGCATCATTGCCTTGACACCCCGATTTAGGTAACTCGTGAATTTGGGTTAGTACTTTTACTAACGTAATGGGCAAATATGCAGACATGCTAGAGGTAATTTGACGTGTAGATTTTGAAAAAGATTCGTCTTCACAAACACCACGATCAAGAAATCAAAGCCAGGCCTATAGGCCTATTTCATTGCACTCCTAAATTTCTAAACCGAGTCATTTCAAACTAAAACAAGCCAGTCTGTGATAGTAATTATTAGTGCTTTATTCAGATATAAAAATCTTTGTACATTTATTTATTCCTGTAAATATCACTTAAATATTAAAGAATTATTTTGTTTATGAAATGTGTTCGGTAGCCCAATTGTTACAGTCAATAAGTCCTTCAATGGCATATTAGAAGCACAGGTGAAAGAAAGAAACAGCTATGCAAGGATAACAACTTAGGTTCACAGTTAAGGACTCTTTCTATCAGTTGGTCCTTGGCCAAACCTCTTGGCATTGACAATTTTATGGAAGAAAACTTCTGGATTCAATGAGTTGACTTATCACAAGGAGAAAAGAGTTATAGACCCTGAAAATCTTTAAATTAAGATGAAGCCTTTATAGACCGAAATATCTTGTCTCTAATTGTTGTTGAGGAGAGAGTCAGAAGGCAATCTATGAATATATCTTGAAATATTCTTCTTCCTTGTGTTTTTTTTTTCGAAAAACTGACAATTTTCTTGTATGTTATGAGGTCAGCTGCATACCATCCTTTTTTCGACAGAATAAACCACTAATTGTTGTCTCTAATCTAAGTTAAAATATTTAAGTGTGGAGCTATGTAAAAGATCGTCGACATCTTATAGAAGGCTTATTGTCATTGAAAATTTCAGCCAATCAAAAGACATGAATTTCATTGGCTCAGCAAATTCTATAAAGATGGCAACGTAGTTTGAGTAAAATATCCACCTGACTGACATTTATCTAATTTGTACACTAGTACATAATGTCAAGTTGTTGTAAGGTACATCTTATTCCATAATTATCTAATACTTTACAAAATTTACTGTTTTCAAAGGTCTAAATCAAGTAATACAAAATTGAATGATATTGATCTACTTGGTGGTCTGTCTCTAAAATACGTAAGTATTATTTAGAATCAACTTGTCGGTGTAAATGCCTTTTTGACATGAAGTAAATGTTAATAAAAAAAAAACATACGAGTGATTTATCAGTGTTAATATTTATTTATTACATATATCTTATATACATGACAATATATCATCCAATAGTAAATCATAAACAATAGCCATGTTCTTCAAGTGATGACTTATTATATTTGAAGAGTTTGATATATCTATAGGCATCTTGTTTACAACCTCAAAAGCATGAAAATCTAAAATATTCATTTCATTTGATTGTCCTTTGGAGTCCCTTAGAGATATTGAATTTTTAATAAAACCTCATCAAAAGCTAAACTTTCATGTATTTTAACCCTAGAAGTTATGCAAAGGTAGCCGTCTTTTTCATGATTTAGAACTTACAACATATGACTGGAATCCATATTGTTTTCATCATATTATAATAATGAATTTTTTGAAGTTATAGATATAGAAAGTCATATTTTTGAATTCTTGAAATCAAATCAAATTGGAAAAAAAAATACAACAGCACAAAATATTTGTACAAAATATTAACTTAAAGGAAGTTAGTCCTCATTCCATAACTTTTAATAAAATCTTAATTTCATCTGCAGAATACTTTTAATCAATTAATCACATATAATGATACCATTGAAGTTTTCCTATGTTTGTACTTTGGGTGTATAATTTGTTTGACACTTTGATAGAATTGAATGAATGATATGACCATTCAGAAGAGTGTAATGTGTAGCTCAAATTAGAAAAAGTTGTGTAAAATCTGACAAAAATTCTAACATTAATAAATTGACAAGACAACAAGTGATATTATACTAGTAACTTTATGATTTTCTGTATTCAATTCTTTCAACTTTAACATCATTATTAACTAATTTATAAACATAGGCTACTACTGTTGACTGTTGAATGTCTAATATAACAAATGATGGTACCACGCTACTGAAATAACAAAACAGAGTCAAAATAATATAAAATTGAGTTGTGAAGACCAGTATAGGGCGTTATAAGTGACACTCTTCTACAGAAGTACTGGAAGAAGCATTGCCAGCTACTCTTCTTTCAATTTCCTACGGACAGTCTTGTAGCACATAGGGCCTTGGTATATTGAGAAAATCAGCTTTTAAGACAAGAGGTATATGTCAGTGACAGAAACAATCTTTGATAATTACAAATAGCATCAAGATAAAAGAGTTGACAAACCTGTCTAATGGATTATAAGAACCAGTAGCTGATCCTGGGTTAATATAAAACTTTCCCTCATGTTCAAATGCTTCAAATTTATGAGTATGGCCAGAGATTAGGATATCAACATCTAATTGTCTTTGTACCATAGCTAGACTTTCATTATCTCCCCATGGTACTACTTGATGACCATGACAAAGACCAATTCTAAACTGACCCACGGTCACTACCTTCTGTTCTGGATAGTTCATGTTCTGAAAAATAATTCAACATAATTATGAGCTAATATTTGGCCATACATTTGTGACTATTTGATTACATGGTAGCTATGTCAGAGTTATTTTATGTATCGGGTAGGTAGGTAGGTGGGTAGTTTACATCAGATCAGATGTCATAAATATACTTATAATTGAGCACTGTTAATTATAACAATCATTAATTAACACTCTTCACTTCCTATGGTATTATCCTTCAATTCGGGCGTGACTACATGGTTCACACCAAGGTGAGCACTCTTCGACATCTCCTTGGCAACAGTGGATAATTGCTTGTTTCTGTCCCTTCTTCTTTATGCTCACTTTAGACTTGGATCTAGAAGCGTAAGTTAACACACTGTATTATAGTTTTCATACAATCAGGATTCTGTATGTGTCTTCGCTTCTTGTTATTTTTCAGAATTTTGGGGATGACATATCACCTACCTCATCAAAATCTCCTCTAACAACATGGACATCACTAGCCAATGTTTTCAAATAATCAAAGGATTCCTTTGTACACAAATTACCAGTACATAATATATGTTGAATCTTTCCTGGTACCAGTAGCTTTTTAAAGCGACTAGGTACACTGTTACATCTGTGAGGAATGTGCAAATCACCTAATACTAAGACCAACTGAAATGAAATAAGAATACATTTTTAAATTTGGTTTTAGATAAACTGTTTTAACACTAGGGATAGTCTTTACACAGCTCACAAAAATCCAAATAAATCGTATGTACCAGTAACAAATGGGTTTGGGGGACCACTACATGCCAATTCACTCTCTTTGTTCCTCATCAACCTAAAAAATTAGGGGATGTATTGATAAAAGAATAAATAGCTACAGAAATCAAATTGTTAAACATCCATTTGTAGCAACTTTACTTTAGATTCATTCATATTTTCCTTCTTTAGATCATGTACACAAATCAAACAAATAGATCATCATATAGACGATGGGTCACGCCCCTTCATCATCAAAATAGAGATTCAGATGGTCTATAATGTAATATATAACCAAAATCAAGTGTAATCAACAGAAGTCAATGCAAGAATAAAAATTATTTTACCATTTTGGCTGTTGAGCAATGAATCTATTCAAATAACCATCAGTAAATTCGCATTTCAATGGGTGTTGTTAATTTCTGAATTTCTCAGTCGGCCATCTTTTTATCACGTGACCGTAAAAATAAATACATTACGGATTCACTTTGGATTTTAGATACTCACTATTATGGTTTGACTAATGAAGAAAATAAACTTATTAAGATAGCTTGCCAGGCAAGATAATATACGCCCACTGGCAGTTTTGATTATGAATAAAAATATTTAGCAGTAAAGTAACAATCACCAGTATGAAATATTCAACCTTCAGTCATACACTCCTTGTGAACTCTTTAGGGCGATACTGAATAATATTGAGAATGAGTTATTGCCCTTGTTCTTGAAAACGTGTTCAATCTTTAGCTCGTGAAAACTCTAGAAGACAAATATTCAATCTTCAAAATCTGGCAAGAATCATGCCTTCTAGAGTTTTCATGAGCTACAAATTGAACGAGTTTTCAAGAACAAGGGCAATAACTCATACTAAATATTATTCGATTTTTCTGATTTTCAATAGGCTTTATCCTTGGGTGATAACACTCAAGCCAAGTTTCGTTAAAATCCGTCAAGAATTGTGCCTTCTAGAGTGTTTACAAGCTAAAAATTGAACGAGTTTTCAAGAACAAGGGCAATAACTCATACTCAATGTTTTTCGATACTTCTGATTTTAGATAGGATTTATCCTTGGGTGATTACACTCGCACCAAGTTTTATCAAAATCCATCAAGAATTGCGCCTTCTAGAGTGTTTACAAGCTAAAATTGAACGCGTTTTCAAGAGCAAGGGCAACAACTCATACTAATTATTTTTCGATCTTTCTGATTTTAAATAGGGTTTATCCTTGGGTGATAACAAACACTCACACCAAGTTTCATCAAAATCCGTCATGAATTGCACCTTCTAGAGTGTTTCCGAGCGTTTCAAGAACAAGGGCAATAACTCATACTAAATATTTTTCGATTTTTCTGATTTTGAATAGGGTTCATCCTTGGGTGATTACAAACAACCATACCAAGTTTCGTCAAAATCAGTCAAGAATTGTGCCTTGTAGAGTGTTTACGAGCAATTGTGGACGGACGGACGGATGGACAGGGGTGACGGCAATATACGCCCCCCCATTTCATGTGGGCGTATAAAAAGGGAAGACCTGTAATAATTTCAAGCTCTGACTCTTACTTTTACGTTTAGGGCATTGGATTATATCAATTCCATTAATAGTAAATCTGGTTTGTTTGAATTCATTGAAAATAGAGATAAGGGTGGTTGAAAAGATGCCAGTTACAATTGACAATCAATTAGTCACTATTCACCAAAATGCACTGGCACAGGGTTTTAGAATAAGGCACTAAGAAGGGAGAAAAATAGCTTCATACATTTAGCACACTGTTAAAAACAATCAACCCGTCTTATTGTGATGATAGCAATAAGTCATTTAAAATACAAAACTGTATTAACATGGGCAAATCAAGAGGATATGAGAAAACATTTATTGTTTCAGTATTTTTATTCATTTTTTAAACAAATAAAACAAACCTACAAAACAAGAAGAAAACTTTTTGTTTTTATATAGAATAAACTACAATAATATCTGTTTATCCTGAAAATACTGAGGTATCAACACCATTGAGTCAAATACTAGTGATGTAGGACACTGATATTATCATCTGCTATTGTAGTAATAATACTTCTAGTGTCTTTGTAAGTCTAAAAAACCAAAATCACTACCTTGACGTCTTTACTAGATTGTATCAGAAGCCTAAAATTTACACCAAGACATGCTACACTTATTACAAAGTGAAATTGAGTTCGCTTTTCAACAAATATTTTTGATTGACATGTGTTTCTGAGAAACTGTACTTTGAAGTTGATTTTTCGAGAAAATATCAATTTTCCATCAATTGCAGAGTCAGACAAAAATAAATATGTAACCTAACTTAAAAAACATATAAAATGTATTAAAAGTCATCTAGATTTGCTCTTAGGTTAGGTCATTGTTAGAATTCTATTCTAGGTGCTATGCCCAGATAAACAGAACTATAGATTAGTGAATACAAGTCTATATATCAGTCGCTACAGAGACATCATATTTCATTACAGTGCCACCAAGCGGATTGATTCTGCTGGTACCTCATTGCCAGTCACTTGCCAAACGAGTTTTTGCTAATAAATTATGTAAGCTGTAAACTTTCACTTTTACATTTTTTGTAAATTTGATTTTACTCCTTAAAATTGTTGTAAAAATATTGAGATTGTAACCAACATTTCTGTGACACCTTATCGCATATTTATCAACTGAGCTTCTCTTTCATAAAACCTATACAGATAATAATGGTAATTTTACCCAGTTGGGTAAAGATATTATCTCCAAATACATTTTCAGCAAACATTTTGTAATCATTCAGCATTCACGGCTATCTATCATTTATCAATTCAGTTTTGGACAGTCTTGTCCCAATTACAATAAACCACTTCAGTTCATTTACAGAAAGTAGAATATAAACTTTGAATGAGCTTGTATCAACTAATAACACAAGATCGTCCTTTTTCCACCGCTTGGGTGGCGGTCAAGTTTGTGTTCTCTTTTTGTTCCATCCAACCTTTTAAAGGTTTATCCCAATCATCAGGAGGTCCAGTTCTATATTCCCAGACATCATTGTTTTTGGCAGCAGCCATTCTCTTTTCTCTCCTGATTAATTCATGTTTGATTATCTTAATCTGAAAGTAAAATGTAAATCATAAAAAAAGAAAGAAACATCAATTTTTTACAAGGACAACAACAAAGGTTTGTTTAGACCAGCTGGTCCTTGACATTGATCTTTCTGATTAACAATACCTGTACCCTTTTTACAGCTGGGTTGTCTGATACCATGAGCAAAATGACATACTTAAGGTCACCAGACTTTCACAAATTGACAGAGATTATAACCCACTACCTCCATTAGTTTGAAATAACCAAACAAATGACATGTAAACGTTCCAATGCTCTAACCAACAGTGTTGCCAAACCTCCTCTAGAAACTTGATATAAACTATTTTTTTTTTAAAAATAGCATGCTATTGGGTGACATTGGTCTCACATAAATCACATAGAGAAACTTTAGTCTGTATATGACACATCCACATAAGTTTGCCTTTCAGTATTTATGTCTTAGTTAAAGAAGCATCTTGTATTGAATTCTGAACAAATTTTTATAAAGATTTGTACTCACAGCTGCTGAACTGTCATTTCCATTCCTTAATTTAAAACAATTTTCCTTATCCTCTTCCCATTTACTACAATTCATATGTCTGCCGAAAATATACATTTGATGCTCACGCCCTTGTTTACCTGTAGTGACAATATGTAAAATTAAAGGGACAGCTTCGCCATTTTTGGGGGTTGATTTGGGTTAAAATATATGTAAATAGTCTTCAGAAGTATTGAGAGAGAATGAAAATTGCATAAAATAAATTCTCTTTCTATAATTATATGTTTATTCTTTCATATGGCAGAGTCTTTTTAACTTTCTCACACATATTATTCTGAACACATGGATTTGAAAGCTCAAATTTCGACGGAGAGCTTTGAAAAATATTACTGATTAGCTTAGCTAAAAAAATACTGTTTCTGAGACCAAGGTACAATTTTGGTCAAATGGATGGAGAACCTTTCCCTTTAAAAGAATCTTTCTCTTAAACCCAGTGATTTTTTCAATGGGGTTGTTTCTAATAATCTAAATACTTAAGAATCACCAGAAGAATTTATCATTTTTGATGAAAACCCTGTGAATAGCTGTCCAAGTTTAATACACTTGAAAAAAAGTTGCTAATTTTGTCGCTTAATGAATACATTATACATATGGACAAAGTATTTAATATAATATCAATAGAACTATTAATGGCTATAATTATAATTAGAGAGAGATAAAATGTTGTCATACGTACTTGTACATTCTTTAAATTCTTGAACATACATTTCACATGGTCTCACCTAAAAATAGAAATATATTTTGAATTTGCTTGGCATATGCTGTCAGACATACATATCAGAGTGACTGACATGGAAATGCTGTCAAAGTGTATGTACAAGGCAACAAAACAAGTCTGTCATGTTCTACAGACTAAGCAGTGACTTTGATGGAGGTATGGTATATTTCAGTATCTCTATAATGTTCATAAAGCAGATAGATTGTTTTGGAAAAATGCCATAAAACAAGGATATTAAGTAGTAATGTCATTTCCAGCCATCTGACGCATGATATTTTTTTATCAATCTTTATTTTTACCTGCAAAATAAAAGTACAGTGGTGTAACCTATTTTCGTGCATATGAGGATTCAACACCGAATTTCGTCAAAGTAAAAAAAGGTTTTTTTTTATGTCTTAGATGTTTCCTCAGATATTCTACAAAATAATTAAAATTGGTTTATTTCCATTTCTTTATGAATCCCTCACTTTGACCCATATTTCATAAGTATCCAACTCGACAATTGCGGTAAAATGCGTCAACTATTTTCATGTACAATGTTTGATCTATAAATAAGTCGAGAAAAACACGTTGTATGGATACCGGGTGGTATAATTAACTTCTCTTAGTATTTATCTTTAATAATATCAATTCATTATACCTAGTGTCAATTCCTTCAAAGAACCATGATTTAAAATAAAAATAGTGACTGACAAAATAAGATACGTAGCATGATTTATTGCTAAAAGTCATTGAAACAACATAAGAATATGGCCCACTTTGTGTTCCATAGAATTTTTCTGCTAGTTGATCACAAGACTCCTTTCGTTGGATTACATTCTAGCAGATGACACTTGGAATTCCAATTACAGATTTGTATAAGGAAATTCGTCCAATAAAAAATTGTGACGTATGGTAACAACTGAAATCCACCATTTTGTATTTGTCAAAGTATACATTCATACATTTTACCTTGCTTGAAACTACTGGATTCATTCTACTAGCTGATATTGTAGAGATAACCCATGTTTATCAAAACCAAGCAAATGCTGAGGTCGCACATATAAATTATTAATCCTTTCCGGAAATGACGAAAAATAGGTTAGCCCGAAATTAGGTTACTTGACTGTACTTATAATTACTTTGATTCATGTAATTCCCCCACAGGTGGCACAAGCCCCCTGATATTCGTGTGATTTTTGCCCCCTCGTGACCCTTTCCTTGGATACATCATTGTAGTCCTCTACATGCTGATGTCTGCCTTCACTTAGCCACAAGATATATAAAAGTAAAATTTGTCTATGTTGGTACCAAGTTGTGGTCTGAATCTTGAGCAGCATGACTTGACCTCAAATCAAAGTCATTATATACTGCATGAAATGAGAGGTAAACGGTCTATGAGTGATTTTAGCATTTTGAAAGAGAAAAGATGACATAAAAGAAAGGTAATACACCATACCATCCATATTTTATCTAACAAGTCATCGGAATTCGATTCTGAAGAAGAAGTTTCAGTTTCACTGAAAGCTGACATATTGGTTTCTTAAAATAATTTGTATGAAACGAAAGTTTCTAGATATGCACATATCATGCATAGGTCTTGATAACAAAACGATAGTGAAAATCTTTTGCAATGAAATGCTTCATGTGTGCAAATTGCCAATTTTTTTATCCTCATTAATTTTTTAAAATAAATATTTCGTTTACGATTCACGACGATGTAAATTTTTTTCACGTCCTCATAAACAAACCGAAAGATGAAATTTTTCAAATGTCAATGTTACTTCAAAAAGAATATTTTCATCAAGGAATTCAATTTACATATAACATTTTTGAATCGAGAGCAGTTTTGTAAAACATATAGAGAGGTCATTTGAGTCTTAGTAATATGACATTGCTTAGATGTCTATATCGTTTTAGAATGAAATTTTGATTCAAGGCTGGTCCTGAAAATAATATGACAGGCTGATTTTTCTAAATTGATTCTTTTATTGTCTAACTTTATTATGTTTCAACCTACTGGTAGACCTAGGTTACCTTGTGTAGATATTTGCTATATAAAAGATGTGTCTGTTTAAGTTTTAATCAATAAACTATGATCAATGATTTATCTTTTGAAGATATTAAGAGACAGAGGTTGTAAATCTGAAGAGCAGGTCAATACAATCATCTCTCAGGTATGCTATGAACTTTTAAAGTACCTATACATCAAGCTTTGATAAGTTATCAATGAATTCCAATCTCTTATTCAGCTTATTTTTTCATCTTTACTTCTATCATTAATTGAAATCTCTGGTTTTTTGTTTTCGATACTAACTTTTCATTTTTACTAACGTGACTAACCTCTTGAAACAAGCAAGATAATTTTTACTGACGTGCCAATGAAATTTGTGTCTACTCTCCTGTTTTATTTCTAATAACTAATTTTGTATAATACAGTACAATGTGTCATTGTTTTTTTAATAGATAGAAAAAGAAATAGAGCGCAGAGAGAAAGTTAATGAGGAATCTATGAAGAGGAAACAATTTATAAAAGAATTCTACAAACCTTTACATCCTCACATTTATACTTTAAAGGTTTGTTGAAAAATATTTCATTGTGGTTTTATAAAAAAGATAAATTGATAAATTTTTGAAATCCTAATGTACTATTTACTGATATCCTGTGCATTGTTAAGTAATCAACCAAACTGAGGTAGTTATACAAGAAACAATTGACCAAACTTTAATTTTTTATCTTAAAAATGTATTTTTTATCTATGAATGTACCACTCTTCAGAACATCATTTTCGCATTCTTTAAAGAACTCAAAATGATCAAATATTTAGAAAATATTTTCTTTTTCAGGCAGATTACTTTCATTCTGGGTTCCTGAAACTTGTTGATGTCTGTAAGAAGCCAAATGTGAAAAGCACAGAAGTTTTGGAGTTAATAACAACAGAAAAAGGTAAGGATAAATAGATTTATTGGCCTTGATGTCTATTATACCCTTTAGGTTGATAAATCCTCATCTTGAGATCTTTATAGTTATGTATGTTGTCACTATTTTATTTTATTAGCTCAGAAAGTGTATAGTTTTCCAGTGTTTACAGAAGAATTTTGTAGATCATTTTTAGAAGAATTAGAATGGTTTGAGAAGAGTGATTGCCCAAAAGGAAGACCAAATACAATGAATAATTATGGGGTATACAGTTCTTCTATATTTTTATTTCCACTGGCAGTATTACGTAGACCTCTGTTGTTTATATCGATTATTTTTCTATAATGGTAGATAAATCTGGTTTTGATAAGATTCTTACTTAGAGAAGTGTCACGTTTGCCTAATATTTAGCTTAATTAAAATGAGACATACATACTGCAAGACATTGTTGTCTTTAATTGTAAGATCAGAAGCAAAACAGTAGCACTGAAACTCTTAATTTATTCAAAATTTATTTAAGGAAAAAAGGCACAATGTTGAATGTTTAATTGTGAAATGATTTCTAAAATAAATACATTAATGCAGATATCCTGATGTACATTTTTATTGTAGGTTTTGTTGAATGAACTTGGTTTTGATGAACATTTTATGACATTATTTCGTGAAGAATATCTCCAACCAATATCAACTGTCTTGTATCCTGAATGGACAGGGCTCAAACTTGATTCACATAAAGCTTTCATTGTGACATATAAGGAAGATGAAGATCTTGACCTTGCCGATCATTTTGACAACAGTGAAGTTACCATTAATGTTTCCTTAGGAAAAGAATTTACTGGAAGTGAACTTTGTTTCAAAGGTATGAAATCGAGTAATGATGATAAAATAACTACATATGAAAATAAAACTGGCATAGGATTGCTGCATAGAGGACAGCATATTCATTGTGCGGCACCATTAAAGACTGGAGAACGGTATAATCTAATTATCTGGATGAGATCGTCCAGTGTCAGGAATCAGTGTTGCCCTATGTGTAATGATAAACCAGAGCTTATAGAAGCTGATGGTTTTGGTGATGGATTTACTGCAGATACTATTAATGTTTGTAACACATTATAAATAAAGTGTTTTATGTTTTGTTTCCCTTATATAACTTAATTGCTCCTACTTCCTTATATTAGACAATAACCTTTTCCAAGACAGCAGTCCTGATGAGGCCTTTATATCCAAAACATTTGCAGCATAAAATGAGCCCTTGGCCTTTTCAGCTATGCTTGTTTCGTTCAGAGCCTTTTTGTTGCCAAACTGGAAATAAATTAAGCTTGAACATGGTGGGATTGAAAAAAAATTTAATTACTAGATATACTAGATTTCTTGTGATTTGATTTTCTATTTGTTACCTAGTGCTATCTGTTACAATACTTAAGAACCAAGAATGATACTGCTCTTTGAGTTTTAGGTCCTTAACTTTATAAGAGTATATGTGTCATTGCATGTAAATGATCAACAATGATAAGCTTTACAGCAAACATTACAATGTATAGGTTTAATGGTCATTGCTAATTTCTGCATCTTGAGACAACAAAGAGCATGAAACAATTAACTCACAAAAAACCCCAAAACATTATCAGTTTATTTCCTTTTAAACCTTGTTTTAAAAAACTCACTCCACTAAAACATTTTATGCAAATGATTGTATTTTTAGACATCTTCTTTCTCTCTCCCTTTTGGGGTTTTTGCATGGCTATTATAGGGTAATTTTTGGTCTAGATTTGAAATTTGATGTCTGAAATTGCATTATCTTTAAGATTTAGTGAGATAATGAGAGACCTAAAGGCGGAAGGCTAATTCCTAAAAATATTCTTTTTGTGAACTGTCAAATTCTTGTGGATAAGTATAACCGGTAGTAGTCTACTTTCAATTTTAGTAGCTCAAAATTTTCATGGTCATCATAATATATTCAATTTTTTCGGAGACATTGAGGATTGGTCAAACTTTCATTCGGCATATTGGAAAGCTTTCAACGAGATTTCTGGAAAAAGTTGTAGGAGGTTGAATTTCATGTTTTAACATGGGAAAAGAGGGCAATTGAATTAGTAGAGTGAGTCCATGAAAGACGAAGGGATCAATTTTTAAGTAAGTGCTTTGCGTAAAATATACTTATTTTCACAATCAAACTTTCAATTTATTTTCTTGTAACTACACTTTGATTTTTTTGACAATAAATTTCTTGCAGTGACTTTTACTTTTAAAGCAATCAATAATGAAGTTGAAAAATATTAAAATTTCTTATAAGAGACTGCTCCCTACTATTTATAGAGGGCACTTATCTCAGGGAAAGATAACTCGTCGTAAACCTGGATGTTTTTTTTTTCGCTTCGACGAGACATTTTTGAATATCATCGTGTTTTTCAGGTAATTATGCAAATAAACTTTACAACTCACATTTTTTTCTGCTATCTATTTAATCATGCAGAAATTTGAACATTATGATTACTATGAAGAGTGAAACCCAACATACACCGGTGGTTTTGTGTTACCTTTTATTGACAAGTAGTGTTATCTCCCCTTATTTAAACTTTACCTGCAAAATATGACAGCATCACTAGTCTTTATGCAGCCTGTCCACGTCCTGGCAAAAATAGACGTGAGAGAATATTTATATACAGATTCGAATTAATGATAAAGAAATGTTGTTGTGTCCGATTAGATATTCTTAGCAAAACAGGATTTCACACATAGCTTTTACATATAACAATACGCTACCGGTAACAAAACAATTACTTTTTAGAAGAAAAAAAAAAGGAATGATGTTGAATACAATCATCTTCATATAGCTCACTCTGATAATTTTGTTATCATTATCTAGCATAACTATAGATAGATAAGTTGGCAGCTTAATATTAAAGAAAAATCAGTATTGGTAGATAGAAAATATGCAAAAAATATACTAAATTTACTAGTATTTTTTTAGCAAGACACACACACATATCAATAATCTTCATACCTTGGACCCATTCCTTTTTGTTAAATGCTAGTGCCACACAGAAATGTTATACTTCTCGCAATTTTCCAGAGAGCCATTAATCTATTGATCATTTATCCTGTTTTCTTTTATTTCAGTTGTAAATGTAATGGCCGACTGTATAACACTGAATGTAGGAGGATATCTGTATACAACTACCAAGTCTACCCTGTGTAAATATCCCGACTCTATGTTAGGCGTCATGATGAGTGGAAAATTTGACACCAGCATCGATTCAAATGGACACCGTTTTATAGACCGAGACGGTGCAATGTTTCAGCATGTTTTAAATTTTTTGCGCTCTTCTCATCTCTCACTTCCTTCCGATTTCAAAACATTTGACTTACTCTCAATAGAAGCCGATTTTTATCAAATACAGCCTTTAATAGAAGCTATTAACCAAATCAAACAAAGTCAAAATTCCATTCCACGGAGGTATCATTTAGAAATCCTGGAAGTAAGAACTGGTTCCACTGCAACGATGCCAACGAACAATTCCCGTGTAAAGACTGTACTATCAGGCAGGAAGGAGGTAATGCTATCACTACCCGCCGACTTGATCGGATCGGAATCGTTAGAAAGACTCCAGAACAAAAATGGACCAGATTTTACTGAGTTAGAACTGTTGGGAAGTAACACAAGGTTACGTTTAGGCGAAGCGTTACATAGTCGAGGTTGGCAGTTATTTAGTTCAGATCTGTCCTCGTCCTCAAGCGATGAAAACAATAAAGCAACTTGTTTGTTTAATTTACATATAGAACAGTCGTTTCGTGATAGATGGTGTCTAGAAGTACAGCCAAGCCAGGACAATATCATTCCTTCACTTTGAATCTTTTTTTATTAATAAAATTGAAAAGTTAGTCATGCCTTTTTTCCATGTAGAGTTGGATCACGTAATAACCCTGCATAAAACTTACCAGACAATCCTACCTTACACAACACACGTGAATTAATACTACTATAAGCATCCAATAATGCAAAGTAAAGATCAAGCACTAGACACGACAAATTACGTCCATGGTTTCATTCAATAGCCTACTTATGAAGGGATTGTAATAAAAGAGGTATTATAAACAATTTATGCCTGTCGGGGACATCGGTAGCTCCAATTTGCAACATTCCAATTTTCAGTCATATTAGACATCTGCGGGACTCGCTATTCCACCACAACAGCAGCTCTTGCGATAGTAACTAACAGTAACGATGTAAACAGGATACTACCTCTTAGAATGGACATAAAACAAGTGTATATATTGAATATTCATCAACTGGACTTACCAAGTGCCATGATTATCATAGAATATCTATGTAAGACTATAAAACTATATAATTATTGAAACACGTTCCTAAGCAGGTTTCAAAAATAATTAGGTTAATGAATTATTATTCAGTTTTGTGGATATATTGGATTATACAGAGATTCTTTTGTATACCGGTATTTATGATACCAAGTAAGACCACCTGATGAACAAAAACTCATTTCAAACCAGTTTTAGGTTGATCATCAACTGGTTATATACGTTTAAGGTTGTTGTCCGTTTAACAAGTTTGATATGACAGTTGTTTAGTAGAGATTGACATTTTCAATTTCATATTACGTTCAAAATAGCAGGGCATTTTAACTGGATTGTAGTTAACCTAATTTATTTCTAATTATATAATTATCAATTGCCTTACAGATGTCCTTTCTCGGTCAATCTTATTCTAATTGTAGAGTAAGAGATTGTAGTGTAATATAGATTGTAGAGTAGGAGAGATTGTAGAGTAATATAGATTGTAGAGTAAGAGAGATTGTAAAGAGAGAGATTGTAGAGTAAGAAAGATTGTAGAGTCGGAGAGATTGTAGAGTAATGTAGATTGTAGAGTAAGAGAGATTGTAAAGAAAGAGATTGAAGAGTAATATAGATTGTAGAGCAAGGGAAGAAATATAGATATTTATAGAGTAAAAGAGATTGCCGAGATATTGTTGAGTATGAGAGCTTGTAGAATAAAATAGATTGTAGAGTAAGAGAGATTGTAGAGTAAAATAGATTGTAGAGTATAAGAGGTTGTAGAGTAATATAGATTGTAGAGTAAGAGGGATTGTAGAGTAAGAGAGATTGTAGAGTAATATAGATTGTCAAGAAAGAGATTTCAGAGTAATATAGATTGTAGAGCAAGGGGAGAAATATAGATTGTTATAGAGTAAAAGAGATTGCCGAGATATTGTGGAGTATGAGAGGTTGTAGAGTAATATAGATTGTAGAGTAAGAGGGATTGTAGAGTAGGAGAGATTTCAGAGTAATATAGATTGTAGAGCAAGGGAAGAAATATAGATTTTTATAGAGTAAAAGAGATTGTAGAGTAAGAAAGATTGTAGAGTAATATAGATTGTAGAGTAAAAAAGATTGTACAGTAAGAAAGATTGTAGAGTAATATAGATAGTAGAGTAAGAGAGATTGTACAGTTGAGATAAGATTGTAGTAAGCGAGATTGTAGAGTTATAGAGCGCGGAGTAAGAGAGAGTGTAGAGTAATCGAGATTGTAGAGTTAAAAGAGAGATTGTAGAAATTGTCGAGTTAGATAGTAACAGAGATTGTAGAGTAAATAATAAATAAATAATGGACAAAGTGACTTCAAGGATACAAGGACTTTTCGTCCAAGGTTTGATACCTGATTTAACTCAGATAAATTTTCTTTATATTGAATCATGGAAAAAGGCAAATGACCTAAGAATATAGACTCTATACACTTAATCCAACTTGGTGGTTACGAGTAATGTTAATATATATCTATTGTATATCATTTGTCATAAAACTTCTAATATGTATATGCGATAAAATAATCGCACATACCTAGTCCAAAGCCCACAAAGAACTGCCAACAATATTCAGAATACGCAATAATACGTAATAAATATCGAATAATGACTTTTATGTTTTTGAACTCAGTCGTAAACAACCTGTCTTAAAATTTTGAAAAGCTCGTCGTTGTGATAAAATGCAACAATATACTATATTCGAATATTTTAAGAATTTCTCTTGGGCGTATGTACAGTAAACATCAAAGAGGATATTGCACCTTCAGATATCTAAGGAGTACCGGACGATAATAAAACAAAATGAAATGGAGGTTTGCGTGCTATTTTCATGGACAGCGAAACCTTTAATGCAAAAGTTATATCTTAACAATTGTCGGAAAGTCCATCTAACTTATTAACTTTCAATCTGAAAGCATTGCTGTTGGCCTGGTAGGCCTACATACAAAATTAAATTATTTCTACTAATTTAAAGTGTGTATTAGACGATTAAATCCCTCTCCATTCCGTTTCTATCACAGGGGTCTACATTAATTCAGTTGTACTCTACAAAGCTTGCACTTAAACAACCCAATATATTAACACTGTTGCAAACCTTGTGGGTAATTATTTTTTTATCTGTTCGTAGGCTATCATATTAAGTACGATTATTATAATGTGCTTTCTTTCAATGCCTATACTCGCCCATTTCCATTCATCGTAAATATTGTTATGAAAGGTTCATAATATCGATATTGAAAGGGTATGATATTTTTAGATTAACAAAAACAGTTTTTTCCACTCAACAAGGTACACAAAGGTGTATGAGTTTTATACGATATATAGCCCTTGATACAACAGTCCTATCACTAATTTTAATTGGGCGATGCTTTAGTTTAGATTCATTAAAACAAACTATTGTGTTTAAATGATTCTCAAAGATTAATTTCAATAGCTTCCCCATGTCCATCTCTTATTGGTAGGATTGAATAATGGCGTAGAGTTGGGTTATTGTCGGACGTAGATAACCATATATCATGCTGTTGTTTATTGTATTTCTACTTCATTTCCAACATCAAAAGGTCAATAGCTAAGGTCAATAGCTGTCGTCCAGAAAGAGGAATTCAAACCGAACTAGGATCAAAATGAAAAGCAAGTTCCGAGCTGTGATAAAGTTTTTTTTACCTTGGAAGGTATAGGATATCTAAGTTTCAGATGTATGGGAAGGATGCTCTGAGTTATAGTCATCAAACGTGGACCCTTGTGACAAATTTTATGCTGACAATAATGAAATTAAAGAAGGTGTGAATGAGTTTTTTAGGATGACCCCAAGAGGAATTCTATTTGTCAGGTATTGATTGGAAAGCTTGAAGTTCGACACGAGAAGTGTATTGTGAAGAGGAGGTGGGGAAAAACATTAAAAGATTTGACAGCTTTTTGTTTTATCTAGTAGACTTAAAACTTTTTGACGAACCCTTGTTTTATATTCGGAGATTGTGTTGAGGGGCTGAACGTTTTCATGGAATAATCTTGATTTTTTTAGATTATGGTTAATGTCAATCTGCATCCGAATTCGTTCCAGACAAAACAATCATCAGATTGACACTCTTTATAATGATCTGATCAGAACCCAGCGTCTTCACTTCTCAACTGTATCCCGCCCCAGAAAACATGTTCGCAAATAAATTATTGATAGATCTCAGTGTATTATCTAAATCAGTTGCATTATTGTCAGATCTTATATTATAAAGAACATAATAAGAGATATGTACATTTGAACTCGCGTAGTTTTGTATTTATTAAAGCATATAAATGTAAAAGTGAAATATGTTAACTTGTGAAATAAAGTAAAAGTGATTTGGTACAACTGATTTATCGAACAAAGAAAGTTGGGTTTAATGTAATTATTAATCAATCAATACTTTTATCATCGTGACTTTTGGATCTCCTGTCTCTTGAACTCGTCCAAAATATCACGTATTCATCATTGATAAGGGGCGTGGTTTAAGCGACAAAACTGAGCTGGAATGAGGTGGTCTAATTTTGCTGCAATATATATCTCTACAATCTCTCTTATATACAGTCTCTCTTACTCTAAAATCTCCATAGACTACAATCTCTCTTATTCTACAATCTCTCTTACTCTAAAATCTCTTTTACTCTACAATGCCCATTACTCTACAATCTCTCTTACTCTAAAATCTCCCTTACTCTAAAATCTCTTTTACTCTATAATCTTTCTTACTCTAAAATCTCCATAGACTACAATCTCTCTTACTCTACAATCTCTTTTACTCTACAATCTCTCTTACTCTAAAATCTCTTTTACTCTACAATCACTCTTACTCTAAAATCTCTTTTACTCTACAATGCCCATTACTCTACAATTTCTCTTACTCTAAAATCTCTCTTACTCTACAATCTCTCTTACTCTAAAATCTCTTTTACTCTACAATCTTTCTTACTCTAAAAACCCCTTACTCTACAACTTCTATTACTCCAGAATCTCTCTTACTCTAAATCTCAGAACAGAACTAAATTATAAATCTGACTGAATTTTGACCTATTGACACACCAATATAATATATAATTCGAAAAGAATCAGCCAAGACCTGTAAGCAAGTCGTTGTGATTACTATGACAAACTTGACTCCATCGACTAAGCTGCTGAACCTTGCTTTCACTAGAATTCGGTTTACGAAGTCACGACTGCTTCATGTGGTTTTACAATATAAGGTATAAATTAGAGATGAAATACTTAAAATTTAGGCTGAAATAAAGGATGGCAAATATTTTGTACAATTTAGAATAGATGCTTATGGCATCCAGCAGACATATCCCACTTCTGTCCGGCATTAAGCTGCTCGTCCATCTCGGCGGTTAATGGAAAAAACACCGCCGGCTACATTCGAAGGTCAACAGTGACTTGCGGCGGCGCCTTATCTCGGCGGCTTACTGGTCTAAATCAGTCCAAGGGCGTGAAAAAATAGTAGACCTACATTAAATGATCCGTAAGACACATTGACCAACCTCAAGTTATAATAAAATAGAATGTTTTCATTGAATTATGAATCTATTTAAATGAATACATATTGGTGTGACGTAGAACACTTTTAAGTTACATGGGTATATAAACCTTTCTTTATTCAAAAGGAAACCTTTCAAACTTGTGACCAGATCTGAGGGGTACAATTTAAATATTTTTGAGGCAACAAAAGATTCAGGATGTTAGCGTTACAACTAATTCTTGGTAAGTGAATATATATATATATATATATATATATATATATATATATATATATATATATAAACATATTTATCTTTGCTGTCTCTTTCCTCGTCATGAGTAAATAGACATTTAAATATAAATCTTACGGATAAGATCCTACAATATACTCTAATATTCATTTCATCAGCAGGGTCGTTATTTAGTTTAAGTTATGGATGACACAGTAATTCAGGCGCCTGAAACACAATACAATACAAGGAATACAATGGTGAAATCCTGACCATTCCGCAAGAGTAGTTTTAGTTTTGCTTTTCATTTTTAAGTTGATGGAGACAACAATCTCCTCTGCCTCTACGTAATAAACTGCTAAGACCAGTTGCTATGAACATTTGGAAAATATATTTCACAAACTTCTAATAGTGGTTGAATGATAATTGAAGAATTTATAAAAATTTAAACACCAAAGAAATAAGGAAGAATTTCATAACCTAAAATGTTGTTCGAATGACGATTGAGAAGCTCTGATTGAGACTGGTAGAAGTTTGCCATAGATGTTATTAAGAGGCATACGTTCTTAAAGGAATAGAATTAAAAGCTAAGAATTATGACACATAGAGTTTTTATAGTCATTGACAACTGGCTATAGCTAATGGGAAATGAAATAAAATCAAATGGCGTCACCTACTACTATTCTGCTCTAGATAGGACTAATGCGTGCAATTTTAGAAAGTTTTCAAATCTAATTTGTAAAACATGTACCGCACACGACCTGTGTTTTTGTCCTATCTTTACATGATAGGTAATAATGTCTAAACATTATTGGTAAATAAATGATGGGAGGAGGAATGTTATCAAACTTTCAATAGAAAATTTCATTTTTCAAGCATAAAATGTCTCTATAGGTTATCACCAACTTTTAGTTAAAAGGATTGAAGATTTACAGCCATCTCTTTCAAAATATTATAACGAGCATGAATCCTGGTTGAAAAGATGTGGAAAGCGTGAATGACGCATGGATAATGAAATATCTACTGTAGTGACTGGTGATAATATAAGAAAGCATAAAATTAAATAATCCTTAAATCCTTTTTTTAACATGATTGTATAACTATCAATCACACTTTTGACAAAAATACAAACACATTCACGTCAAATCTTCTTTGCTACAACGAAGGTAGTATGAGCATGCGACATAAAGCCCTTTCTGTAACAAGCCGAAAGTAGCGATTAATAGTTGCGTTTGCGAATAATGAAAGTGGTCATAAGTTCCGAACACAACTCACAACTCAAATGCATGTGAGTTGGTTCGAAACCAATGACCGCTTTTCTTATATGCAACCATGGTGTGAGAGCCACTTAAGGGAACCAAAAAATGACCACAACTCTGAACAGCTACAATTAAATAGTTAAGAAATATAAGAACTGTATTCTTAACATTATTTTCGTTTATTTACAGCGTTCAGTGTGGCTGTTGGCTATGTTGATATGGGTTTACCACCATCAGTACCACCACTGCAACCATCTATTCCACCAATAGATGAAGGTATTCTATTTTTTTCTTCTTTGTATTATGTAACAAACGTGTTAAGTAAAAACCTATCTTATACCAGATACCTATGAGGATTTTGCATGATTTAAGAATTGAAATCAGATTTGATTCGAAAGTCTCCTCCTTTGAAAATCCCCCTTTGTTCAGTGAGTGCATATCAAGTTGTAATATTAAACATCAGTTTTGTCTTCTGAGAATTGTATATTCGAAATAAAAGATGGTTAAATCGATATTTGTGGGTTAGATTTAGAATAAGAATGATAATGTACAATACCTGCGTGGAATAGTGAATGCTGTGATGCATTGTCTGCCTCCTTTTCTTTAAAGGTGGATTTTGTTTCTGAAATAAATTTCGGCTGCATGAGATAAGACACACAAGTCTTAAGATATTCAAAACGACTTTTTAAATAGATTTAGGACAGATTTGTCCATGAAATATCTTCAATGTACTTAGTTGAAACATGAATATAAATAGATTTGTTATATTTGAAGGATGTCTGCCAAATATGGATTGTGAAACAACTTACCAGATGGCAGTTATAAGTGGTGATCCATGTCAGTAAGTATCAGTCAGGTCATAATATGTAACACCGGCAAGAATTAGACTTGTGAAAACAAGGATTGGTTTTCATTTCGAGACAAAAGGAATTAACTTCTATCAGCCTAATCCCTGTTATCTATCAATTAGCACAAGTGTGCACGGTTGGCGGAGGAAGTGTAAAAGGGCTCAAATTCATGCGTGACGAGCAAGATTATAGTTTTTCATCCTAGGAAAGATTACCCATAAGGGAGTAATTTTGAAATTTTTTTTTGGGGGGGGGGGGGGGATTGCAGGGATAACCTAACGAAATCGTAAGGATTAATAGGGGAGAGAGAAGTTGGGAGTTGGGGTAATGCAATCGATCCAGGATCCTGAGAGGGGTAATAGAAATAAAAAGATTGAAAAACACTGCTGTATAGTGCTATACAATGCTGATCTAATGTAAACATTTCTTCATCAGGGCGGCTAAAGCATTCAAAACATGCGCTGAAGCATCCGAGAGTCTTTGTACTGGACCAATACCATCATTAGTTTCAGCTTTTACAGAAGGAGCAGCTAAAGCTGTTGCAGATAATTGTAATGAGGTTTTAGAAAACTGTAAGTTCAATTGTAATTGTATTGTCGTATAGCTTTTGCCTGTTTAGGCACATTATTGGGCTGTAATTAAATTGGCAGCATAAAATTCCAGAAAAGAGTATAAAAAATCAAATGGAAGAATGACATGAAAAAGGACTGACTGTGCATGATAAGTTACAAGCAAATGACGTTTTTGGTGAATGTTCACTCAGAGGAGGTGTTATATTTAAGCCCCTTGTTTCTTTTCCATTACCAATGAAAAAAAATTCGAGTTTTATCTCTTGGCAATAACTATATACCAAATAGGGGTTAGGATGGTCGTTCGAGTTGAAATGAATAGAAAAAAGCCTTTGATATCTGTCCAATGAGTCGTAAAATGAGCGCGTAAATTATTTTTAGTTTCTCCTACATATTGTTTGGGGCATTTCCTACAGGTTTCTCATGTTAGATGCTCCCGGATCGACTACTTATTCATGTTCCAATTCCGTCCTTAGATAATTAACCAATTAAAGTTCATTTTTTAAGAAGACTCATTTTTATTTCAGTACCATCATGTGCTTCCATCTGTGTACCATATGAAGAAAGGGCAATTGGTGACTGGGCTGATAATAAACAAGATGAAGGTTGTGAGTAAGTATCTGTGTTTAGACGCTAGTATAATATCGAAGCCCAAAGTGCTTCAAGCCGATACCTTGCTACTCGCGAAATTTTGCTCATGTCACAAGTTTGGTGTGTGTCTTCATTAGTCCCATATGTAACTCATTCAGTCCATTCACGTTCATTAACACTAATTATTTAGCAAATACGCAGCAACTTGGTCATCACAATGGTATGCTTACATATATTTAAGATCTTGGTTTGGTTTGGTTTGGTTTGGTTTAATAAAATTTCGTCCTGAGGTCACTGTGTCATTGTCATTGTCTGAACACCATAGTTTGTGTGTCCTGCTTCAGTTGATTTTATAGTCACGACATTTCAAACCGGCAGAGTTTCTGGGCCTGGGGGGTCCCAATCTGTAGCCCAATCTGATTGACTTGAAGCTTTCCATACCAATCACTCCGAGCTGCATCATGTTGACAATGACGACCAAGCGCTACCGTGTAAATCGGACGAAATAGTCACGAATGTCCAAAGAAGTAGTGACAGATGCATTTGATTTCAATCTAATTTACCATTCCTCTACATTTTATTCATTCCAGGCAATATCTGTTATACAGATCGTGTTTACAGAACTTTGAAGATTCCCCTTCTGCCAACTGTAAAGTGACAAATATCCTGTCTAAAGCTCTCGTCACTCACAACCAGAAATGTCCAAGTTAGTTATTTTTCTTTCATTTAGCGTGATATTGAATATAGCGATCAAAACTTTTTTTTAAGGTTATCGAATTTTTGGTTAGTTCAAACATTCATGTGTATGTGCCACAAGGAAACTCTCTCTTTATTGATCAACCTTCTGTTCATAAAATTCTTATCTCACTGGATGTAAATTTGTGTTTTCCTCCAATCTACTACGCCCCGTCCTCCCCAGACATGTCGTTACCAATCCACGTATTTTCGAGTTTGATTCAGGTGTCTGCATAAACCTCCTTCTTAGCGACAGTAGTGAGCGATTGGTTCTACAGACTATAATCCGATTCGATATTTTTGAGATGAACTATATACATCTATTCTATGGTTTGAAGTTTGATTATTGTTCTTGTGGTTGTCCAATATAACCACCAAGAACAGAAATATTAAAACAGAACCTGAAATATGTTGTTACCCAGAGTTTCACGCGGTTTATTTTGTTATTGTAACCATCAATAATATATAGATATTAAACAGAGTTCTGAGGGCAGAGCACATTCATCATTTTAAATTTGATCAGATTTTCAGAGGCTTTTCATATATACCTTGTTTCTTATCAGGAACATGTCCTGAATATTATGATGATTGTGAAACAAATCTTCCAAAACTAGCTGCTGATGGAAAAAAATTAGAAGAAACATGTTTGTATGTGGAAATTTTATTCTAGAACTTTTATATCATAGTTATTCTCATAGAAAGTAAAACGAGCCTTGAGTGATATTAAATTAGTGGAGAATAAATAACTATACCCAATTATATCTATAACATTTATACTTGAAATAAAGATCTTGCGACGTTTCGACATCATAGCTTGATAAAGACGAGAAAAACATTTTAGAAACTTCAAATCGTTTATCAAAGTAATGGTTTTCATACCAATACCATCGTCGAAATGTAAAAATATTTTTGTGATTGTAGCTTCATCCAGTTTTTTTTTCTACCGATTAAAAATTTGCACACGTGTTATTGTCGTTTTCTGCTTTAAAAAAGTACTAGTCACTGACATCCCACTTATATGTGACTAATGTCTTTGTAAAATATCCTCTTTTCAGACTGTGGTCTGCGTGTAATGGGTATGACTTTACAGTATGTCAAAAGACTCTGACTGTTAGCTACGATACTGAATGTGGTAAGTGATCTTCATTATAAGCATTGTGCTTTTATGACTACTGACGGCGTAACTAACTTTGATTTTTTGATGTTGATAGGAAATTTTATTGTTTACATTTGCCATATCTTTTTCGGTTTCAAACTGTCGATGTCGAACATCTGATAAAAAGACCGAACATAAAATAAGTCAATTAAAGGAAGATTTGTGATTGCTAGATTTTATTCACAATTAATTAAAGCTTATTAATTTACAACTCACTTTAATAGTGTGTCAACCAACTAACTCTAGGGACCTTTTTTTGTAGCAAATGTGACATTACTTCCCAGTATAGACAAAGATAACAATGGAGTGTCAATAATTACCAGTAGTAAGTATATAGATAATTTGTTTGGCTAATTATGGTGTGATAAATAGGAAATTCACATCATAAACAATCCCTACAAGAACCATTACGCTAACTTAACTATTTACATAAGTTGAATTACCTCATTATTATATAGAAAGGTGCCAAATTGAACTTTAATTTGGAACCAAGCTCGGATTATGTCTCAAAAAAAAAAAACGAAAAAAACTTCGAGACAAATTTCTTTTTAAAGAGGGGAAAATGGTGGAATTATACCAGGATGATCTGACTATTGCAAACTTGCGTCGACCACCTGTTTCTAGCATTTGAATTACGAGAACATATAGCGTGCCAAAGAACATAACCTTTACTGTGTTAGAAATCTGACTCTGAATCTTGATCTTTGTCAGAATCTCAGACTGATGTCACCCATGCGGAAATATGATAATATTGGAAGACTATATTAAAGAATATAATTTTATTATCACCTTTAAGTGACAATGTTGTTCTATAATTCTAGGTATGGGAATGGTAATTGGCACGATTGGTGTACTGTTACTGTTGATAAAATAATCCACACAGTTTGATTTTGGACTAATATTGTTAAAGAGTATGAAGCTTTAATGCTGAAAATTAATGGTTTTAGTCTTAATTAATTAAATACATGTACATTTATAATTGTTTGGCGGTATTCGCCAAATACATTTTCTCTGTAGTGTAAACATTTGAAGTAGCATGACGCATCCGTCGAACACCAGTAGCCTAAACCAAGCTGCTGGGGAAAAAAATAATTTCTAGCTTCGAATGCCGCTTTCTGCTTTACTACCTTTGACACTTTACATATCATCCTATTTTTTTTTTATTTATTTATTCTAAGAAAAATTACATTCATGGCATTTGGAGAAGATATAGTTTGGGAACCGAACAGAAAAGCATAAAAGACAATCGAAATACATAGAAATATGAAATGATCGAAGTCATGATAAAATTGTACATATTTGAAAAATAGTATTTCAGTACAAGTTATTTCCCTTGAAATAAAATTTCATAATATCTGTTATTTTATTTTATCATATATTAATCTTGCTTTATCAGTATTTTTGCAGCTGCATGGCTGCACTTTACTAAAATAAATTTCATTTAATGATTTCGGCGTTAACAATGGAAACCAATGTTATCAGTGTTTTAAGATTCTCGTTGTAATATGACATATGTGATAATATGTGTTAATGGTTAGGATTTTGGTATTGGTTAAACAATTTTATATAATGCATAGTGATAATATTATTACTAACCAAATTTTGCTATTCACTATAAATAAGATTTATATTAATGTAAAGCATATGACCAGTTGTGATGCCAGACTGGGGTTACAAATCGGGGACAAACTAACTCAATGGGGGGACAACTGCTGAGGCTGAATTCAAATTTTGGCTACTCTGTGGTGTTGTCATAGTCGCAAGCCTCTTAGATGGTTCTCTCAAGAAAATTTTTGAAAAAATAAATAAATTTTGTGCATTAAGACATATGTTTTGGAGAAAAAGGTAGATATTTAGTTTTGTTGTATAAAGTTTGGGTACAATTTATTGGGGGTGCAACCACTTATCCAGGAGGGTGGGGGAGGGGCAAATGTCTCCACTGTACCCCCCACTGGCGCCGCTACTGCATCCCACAATACAACATAATATATTAGTTTACAGTTTAAAGATGTACACAAAAAATTAGGCCAAGTGTGCAAACCAATCCCAGTCCTGCAAAAAAAAAAGAAGAAAAAAAAAGAAACACAACAAAGAAATAAAATGATTAAATCGAACAGATTTGCTCGTCAGTCGACTTACTTGGTTTCAAAAATATTCCATAATATATTCTATAAACTAATATATCCAAAAAAAAAACTGAATAACAATCCATTAAATGTAGAATTGTTGACACTGTTTCAGTAATCATAATATCGTCTTATAAAAAGATTCCATTTTTTAGTCATGGCACCTGGTAATTCCAAATGATGAATAAATTATACTCTTATTGTCCAGGTTTGAGCCTTTAAGTTTTATGTCCATTCTAAGCTAGTATTTCTTTAAGTTTGATATCCTACTCTTCTGCAATTATAATATTATTTTATTATTATTATTTGCTGTATTGTTTAAATAACCTCTAACTGCTTTAACTGTGAATCAGTGGCGTTTCTATAAATCATTAGATGGAGGGTCCGAGTATTGGCTACAGAATGTTATGATGAACTGGAAGCTAAACATCCCCCGTGATAATAAACAGTCAAAGAAAGCCCCTTAGAGAAGTATTTTTATTACCTATTCTTTTTAAATAGTGCAACGTAAAAAACTATCGATTATCAGTTATTTGTGAAAGCAGGAAGTTATTTTAACATTTTTATTTTATCCTGTTTTCAGTTGACGAAGTAAGAATTGTGCTGTACAATAGCAACTGTACCCTTTCACCAAGGCCGCAGTGACTCGGTCAGTTAGACGATTGCCCGCTAACCTGATAGTTATTGTACAGTCATACCTTCGGATTTTTCGACCAAGTTTTGCAAATCAATTCAATTGAATAAACCCGTGTTCTACCATCTTTACATTTTCAAGCCATTACCAACTGCGTAGACTGCAATAGCCACTTTTCTTGTATCACGAAAGTTTGTTCATACAACAATTTGGTTGGATTGTGCGTAAGCGTATTGAGTCAATCAGAGTTCTCGACAGAAAGTCTGTAAACGATACGCCATAATGTTTAGTCTTTACATTGAGGGCTCTGAATGGCTGTATTCGCTGGTGTATAATCAAATCGAATTGCTGCATTAGGTGATACAAGAAAGGTGGCTATTTCAGTCAATGTATAGGACGAAGTTCGTAATAGCTGAAGTGGTGTGCTACAGGCTTTATATGTTGAAGACCCATTGACAGTTGGAAATCTAAAAAGAGTAAGCTAATAACGTTGTCTTTGCAAAATGTCCCTCATATTACACTGCACAGATTTGTCTGTCGGTATAAGACCAATCTCGCGAAGAAAATGTATTTGGTACATAGAGTTACAAATAGAATAGCTCTTATAATAATAAGATTTTGAACAAGGTATTTCATTTGAACACAAGAAGCTGTTTAAGTTTCCATTTGTAAATGATATGATAAAAAACTAAAAATACTTACTATTGATTGTTCCTGAAGCTCCATTACTATTATTTATACTTTCTGTTTGAGATACAGCAGTACTCACTGTAAAAATAAACATTTTGCTTGGGTTCTTTTAAATGTAAGAAAATCAATATGACAAAGATATGATGTTTGTGTCACAGGAATTTGATCTTTCAAATTTTTGGGAATATATTTGAAGTTATAAATCAGAACACACATCACAAACAACTGTCGATAATGTGTATACGACCCTAAACAAAAGCGATAACTTTCTGATGATCATAGCCTACACGAGTCAAAAACAAAAGCACAAAATAAACTAAGGTAGGCCAACTCACCACTAGTTGTTTCTGGAGACCCACATTTCGTATCATAGTTCAACTTCAGAGTTTGTTGACATGGTGAAAAATCATACCTTTTACACACAGACCACAATCTGTAAATGGAATTAAAAATAATTTGATATCCATTTTTTATGGAGTCTAACTTTCTATCTTTGGCACTATGTGATGAAGAAAGCGCCAGTCCCCTTGACATGCTTCACTGATCAACACTTTATATTCCATATTAGTGACAAGAAAACTGACAAGTATTTTATAATGATAGCCTGCCAGGTAAGGTAATATACGCCCACTGACAGCTTTGATACAGTAACAATCATTGTTAGTATGAAATATTCAACCTTCAGTCATACACTTTTAAACTTTTATTGTTTACGAGCTAAAATTGAAAGCGTTTTCAAGGCCAATAACTTATACTAAATATTTTTGGATTCTTCTGATTCTCAAAAGGGTTCATCCTTGTGTGAATACACACTCACATCAAGTTTGAAGAACTGTGCCTTCTAGAATGTTTACGAGCAAAATATTGAACGCGTTTTCAATAACTTGAGGCATCTCTTTCACTTTGTACAAACAAATTGAAACGCCACTGATTTACTAATACTTGGAATCGATATGCTATATTCTAGTTACTCTCAGCGAACCGCAACGATGTGTTTGATACAGTTCATTTTATCCTTTCAGTAGACTGAAGATTACTTGAAGACAACATTTGTCCCTGGAGTACAGACGTTAAAATGGTCTCCCGTCGGAGATAGGATTTTCATACATTGCCATCTTGCAATTTCTTTTCTACTTTTGAATGTTGGTGGACTGTTAACTCTTGAATGGATTGGACCGACAGACATGGGTGACGCCAAATTCATGTGGGCATGTACAAAAAAATATTTAATTGATCAAAATAAATACCTTTGTTAGTATAGAACACACTTGTTAATATAACAATATTGTTAGTATAACTACAGAATTCTAATACAGCAAAAACTTCCATTGGTTCTCCACTCACAATCAGCGTCATTTCCGTTAGTACACTTCTCAGGAATTATAGGGTGAGTGGTATGATTGTTAGAGAAAATGGAAAAATTACTAGAAAGAACGATCACTTGAAGACAACCGCACTGTACCCACCGAATGCCGCAATGAACTCTCAGCAGGTAAGTTCCCCGGCCAATTCGGTGGCCCCTACTCGTTTTACCAAATCTAAATATCTAAATCTTCTAGTGTTTAGTAGTTGACAGACACTTATTGTCTTTTAGGGGTTTTCTGTAGTGTAAGAAAATTCAACAGTCTCAAATAAAAGGACGAAGAATTTATTCATGTCTAGCCTTCGCAAAATCCTAAAAGTACGACTATTGAAAATTGAAGACAAATGTACCGTTGGGAGCTAAGCTAAAATTCATTTGGCCGAATCTTGATTGTGGTCTTCATTGCAGACAAACCGGTCGTCACATCTATTATCTATAACTTCAGACTCAAACACAGTATTCAACCGACAAGGTGAGATTTTAACATGACCAGTACCCTATGATGTCCTGTCAACCACTTTTAAAAGTTTAGTACCGTAACATTTTAGTAAAACTTTCTATTGTTAATGTATTTTAAATGTTTAGTTTTAAATGAGAACATACAGACATGTTTCTTGTAACCTTGATTCATCAGCTGCTAGCTTGGGAAGATTCTTACTGCATTCATCATAAACAGCAGTACAATTTTCTAATTTGAATAAAAATGGGATTAAGTTTCAAAAATGGGGTTGGTTGAATTTAAAATGGGTTTTATGGGCTTTGTTTGCCTTACAATTTCTATTTATGAACAAATGTCTTTTTCTAGATATGAGGAATTATGGTAAGTAACAACCTCAAATTACATATTGTCAAACGTCTTTCGTGTGTGTTTTTATTTTCTGAGAGAAGTTGGTGGTACCATTCTGAATAATCCTATTATGTCTGGTAGGATTGCCATTCAAAATGAACAGAACTAGAACCATGTCCAGATCTGTTCCGAAATTTCAGGCAAGTAGTTTGACGTATGGTGGTCAAAATGCAGAAATCTCCCCAAGGAGGTTGGCTATTACCCTTTTACGTTTATACGAGTAAGGAACAAACATTACATTATAGATTATACATTATCTTTTAAATTTTCTTTTCTTTTCAAACAAATAAAAGTAATGAAAAAAAAGTTATAAACTTTGACAATCTCTATTGTATATTGCGACAGCATCAGCCAAGAAACTTGCAACTTTGCAGTTTGGATCAGCATAGATTTGTAAACATTGTCCGTAGAGTGCATATTGTCTGAAATAAAAGGAAATGGATTAAGTTTGATGTATTGCAGAAAGCATTTCGTTATTTCCCCATCTTTATGTAAAATAAGTGTGGCATGCTACAATGTCGCGTATGATACGGGTTCAGTAGGTTTTGTGGTAAAATAAAATGACCTACGAAGCAGTCAACTTACATTGTAATTTGCTATAATTGACAGATATCAATGAGATGGTCAATAAGTCGAAATGAACACTTTCGAAAAAAATTGCATTGAATGAAGTATATTCTAAGATATCTTCGTTTACACAAAATTATTACAAAGATACTTACTCGCAACCCGATTGTTGTTTCGAATCAGCCCAATCACCCAAAGCTCTGTCTTCATAAGGAACGCACATTTCAGCACATGCTGGTACTGAAAATTAAGATGTAAAAGTCTAAAATACCAACAAGATCTCTGTATCGTCTCTTCTGAGTAAATGTTGAATTGTTTTAGGTCCACTACACAGTCATAGCTCTCCATTGATGACACTCTGAAAGACCACATTAGGAGGGCAAGAGAACCTTGGTGATGAAGTATATTAAAAGTGTTTGAGGTCAAAAAATAATTGAAAAAGTTTATATAAGTAATGTACGTATATTATAAAATATCATAATAGTAATGTTTGTATTTACTGTATAAACCATTTGTTTTTTTATTACTTACATTCTGCGGGAAGTTCATTACAATTGTCTGCCACAGCGGCTGCTGCCCCTGATACCATAGCTTGTACTAATGATGAAACTGGTGGAATACACAGACTCGCTGCTGCATCAACACACGTCTTAAAGTCTTGAGCGGCTCTAATGAGAAAGACGTTACGGTTAGTATTCGATTTGCCTTTCGTATACCAGTAATATAATCGATTTGCAAATTTCTAATTGGACGCTAAGATTTTCTATAAATAAATATATTACTTATAAACGAAGCCCATTGAAATATACCTGATCCGTTACTGGTGTACCCGGTGTAGGCTTTCACCCTTAATACCTACAATAAGCAAAGATATTCTTGCTTTGCCAATGGTGATTTATTACATCAACAAAATCATATACTTACTGGCATGGATAATTACCCATAACTGCAACTTGATAAGCCGATTCACATGCAAAATTTGGTTCACATCCTGAAAGCAAAATATGGCTGATATCATTCGGCAATAGTCCTTTGTTTCAGTTAAGCTGAATATGTTGCAGAGAGCCAGCAGAACTTTTACGGTGGTCCGTTTGGGTTGATAATTTATTTTGTATGTTTTCTAGTAAATCAAATTTATCCTTATATACGGTCATGTGTAAATAAAACGAACACTTATCAAGCTAAGGAAGAGGGCCGAGCTTTTATTATATTTTTTAAACCATTCTGATTACCCAGCTTGTGGGGCTAAATTTCAACAATCCGTAACACTCTTTAGACTTAAAATTCAACGTCCGATTCTCCTATGCATGTGCTGTAATAAAATCATGCAGTTTCGAGTATTGTCAATTCTATAACATTACTAATATTACTATAGCATTGTTGTAATTGACCGCGAGACTGAAATGGTACTATCAAACCTTATAAATGACGACGGGGTTCTTAGGGCGTCGCTTTGCAATAATTAGTAGCAATATTTCAGAATCATAAGGATACAATAGTTATTTATGTTTCATTCGGTGGATGGGGGGGGGGGGGGGGAGTTGTGATCACTGGCCCAACTGGATGATTGCGGTGCCCGTGAACGTAAGTCTTTTTAAACATAAGTCTCTCCAGTATTTCGGGATACCCCTTGGACTTGGTTCAACCAGTCCCTATGGAAGTTGATCCACTGGATGTTGATAATATTACGTGATACGAAATTAAAGCGGTGAATTTCAAACCCGTGATGTCAAAGTCGTGAATGCAAAGCAAATTATAAATACCTCCTGGACCGGGGGGTGGTGGTATAGGGGGTGCCCCTGGTAGTGGTGGTGGTGGTGGATTAGGATCGATTGCTCTTTGTGGTAGTGCATTAACCAAAACATATCCAACGGTCACACACAATGCTGTAAAAAGGTTAATATGTATCAAAGGTTAATCATACAGCAATTAAATATTTTCACTGTTAAAATAGTGCTCAATTATAGGGCCATATTGTTTCAGTGAACAACTTATTCTCTTGTCTACACTTCGAGACGAGCTGGAAACGTTTGTTTAAAGACGTAGGCTACTTTGAGGCTTTTAAGATGGAAAGCTTTTAACAAAGGTATTTCAAAGAACAGCAACCGTCATGCTCATTTTAAGTCAAATTGTATTTCTTCTATAACTGTTATATCTTGATTTTTTTTCAATAGAGTTTGTCCTATTGTGATAAGCAACATCTTTAAGTTGTTAACAACAATAGTTCTATTAAAGAACCAAAACTTGAACCTGAAAAAAACAAAACGCGTATACTGCTGTCTTGGAGCATTTTGTTAACATGCTTGCATAATGTTTAAATCAGACTGAACAAGGGGAATATTGTTACCCCATTTACCTCGAAGTGGCTATTTCCCAGAGGTAACGAGGCTCAAGTACAAGATTTAAGTTTATACATATATTAGTGTAAGTTAAACTCATTTTGGAAATTATTCTTTTGATCGAAGATGAAATAGTGACCCATTCTGTACTTCTCATAGTTTTCAATATTCACATTTCAAAGCTAACACCTGAATCAAAAGCAGTACACAACATATTATTGATTACGTAAAGTTTTTTCACCCGATAAATAGAACTTAATCTCTGAACGACATGAAACTTGAAACATCTGTTTTTCAGTCAAATGGCATTTAACAGATTTCAGAACATCAACATTGAACGTCGATTGTATTCGTAATTCCATGTAACATATTTTAAAAATAATGTACTCTTGGAACAATGCCCGCACCAATAAGTTGGATATTGGTCCGCAAAGATCAAGGGATGACGTCACATCTGTATTTTAAATTTAGTTCTACTTAAAACTCATCGAGTGGACAAGTCTTTCAAATCTTAGCTTCAAAAATTTAAACAAGTTAATCTTGCCGGTATGACGAAACAGAACTGAAGCAAATAATAGAAAAATATTTGGAAAATCTAACTGTTTTTGAAAACATAGGACCTACAATCAAATGAAGTTCTTTAAATAACAATTACTCCCTTGGCATTAATGAAAAACATGACATAACAATATTATACACTCACATAAATTTCTGTTATAAGCATGAATACCCAAAAATTATGAGAGGGGAAAATATTATTAAATTCATTCCTAAACCTACCACCTGCCACCTGTCATATAATAAACATTACATTTATTGCTACAACCATCTGTTACTTATCCGATATTTTGTTATTTGTGCTTTAGTGAATAAATAATATTTCTTTTTACTGTAAAGGTGGCCACCTGCCACCTGCCATATAATAAACATTACATTTATTGCTACAACCATCTGTTACTTATCCGATATTTTGTTTTTTGTGCTTTAGTGAATAAATAACATTTCTTTTTACTGTAAAGGTGGCCACCTGCCACCTGCCATATGATAAACATTACATTTATTGCTACAACCATCTGTTACTTATCCGATATTTTGTTTTTTGTGCTTTAGTGAATAAATAACATTTCTTTTTACTGTAAAGGTGGCCACCTGCCACCTGCCATATGATAAACATTACATTTATTGCTACAACCATCTGTTACTTATCCGATATTTTGTTTTTTGTGCTTTAGTGAATAAATAACATTTCTTTTTTACTGTAAAGGTGGCCACCTGCCACCTGCCACCTGCCATATGATAAACATTACATTTATTGCTACAACCATCTGTTACTTATCCGATATTTTGTTTTTTGTGCTTTAGTGAATAAATAACATTTCTTTTTACTGTAAAGGTGGCCATCTGCCATCTGCCACCTGCCACCTGCCATATAATAAACATTACATTTATTGCTACAACCATCTGTTACTTATCCGATATTTTGTTTTTTGTGCTTTAGTGAATAAATAACATTTCTTTTTACTGTAAAGGTGGCCATCTGCCATCTGCCACCTGCCACCTGCCATATAATAAACATTACATTTATTGCTACAACCATCTGTTACTTACCCCATATTTTGTTATTTGTGCTTTAGTGAATAAATAACATTTCTTTTTACTGTAAAGGTGGCCATCTGCCATCTGCCACCTGCCACCTGCCATATAATAAACATTACATTTATTGCTACAACCATCTGTTACTTATCCGATATTTTGTTTTTTATGCTTTAGTGAATAAATAATATTTCTTTTTACTGTAAAGGTGACCACCTGCCACCTGCCATATAATAAACATTACATTTATTGCTACAACCATCTGTTACTTATCCGATATTTTGTTATTTGTGCTTTAGTGAATAAATAATATTTCTTTTTACTGTAAAGGTGGCCACCTGCCACCTGCCATATAATAAACATTACATTTATTGCTACAACCATCTGTTACTTATCCGATATTTTGTTTTTTGTGCTTTAGTGAATAAATAATATTTCTTTTTACTGTAAAGGTGACCACCTGCCACCTGCCATATAATAAACATTACATTTATTGCTACAACCATCTGTTTCTTATCCGATATTTTGTTTGTAATTTGTGCTTTAGTGAAGAAATAACATTTCTTTTTACTGTAAAGGTGGCCATCTGCCACCTGCCACCTGCCATATAATAAACATTACATTTATTGCTACAACCATCTGTTACTTATCCGATATTTTGTTATTCGTGCTTCAGTGAATAAGTAACATTTCTTTTTACTGGATTAAAAACCAGTTTTCCAATTATTTATATAAATTCTAATATATATATATATTTCAAATATTACTATTGCTGTCGATGGATACGATCTCATACATGTTGGATATTTCATTTACCTGTTTTAAGTTACCGTTATTAATTCATGAAAAAACGCACATACGTTAAGCTTGTGCATTTGAAAGCAAACTAAGTAAAACTAAATTGCATTTTCGTACATTTTTCTTTTTCTGATATTTTTAGTCAATTTTTTTCTACAAAAGGTTCCAAAGTTTAGTAGTAGTTTCGCTATCCCACTACATGCATTTCCTTTCTTTTTTAATCAAAAATGGGTTGTACATTACACACCTTTTAGATTACAATGTCGACTAAAATTACCAGAAAACAAAAAAGATATGAAATCAAATTTTAATAAGATTGACTTTCTAGATCAACATTCTTGCAAAAATAAATTCTTACATAAATTTAATAAAACTTTAAGCCTTTATTTGACATGTGATCCTGAACACTTTTGAATTTTATAATTATTGATATAGTTAATTATACAGCACCAGTCTTCTTCAGATAAGATATTAACAAGCCAAAATTAAAAAGTATTTTTTATTTTATCTCTGCCTGCTGCAATATGTGTTTTAATTAATGGATAATAATCTTACATTTAAAATGATCATTTTTTTTCTAATTTTAAAAATACTCTCTCTTTTCCCAAAAATAAATATATATATATCCAATCACTTACCGAGAAGAACTTGTATAGCTCTCATCTTAAGATTGTTATTCCCCCAAAATATCAAATTGTGTCCTTCACGGTGAAAACACAAGCTTGGAGAGATTACTTTTGAATAAGACAATATATGCCGGGTTTATTTATACCTACTTTTAAGTCAAAATATTGGTCTACGTCACACTAACATGTAGGCATGTTAATTGATTCGTAATACAATAATTGTATGAGAATGGCTATTGATCTGTATATTTAATTATACGGTGGTTCAAAGAGGCTTACGCAATAGATCAACGCCTGCTTGTACCCTCGGCAGTTTCCGTGTTGAAGAGCGTTAGCAAAGCCTCCAGGCAGTAGAGAATTGTATCATTCACATGTTATTTACATTTTGGTTCAGGGTTGCCTCCCTTATATTTCTAACCTCCCTTGAACTACAGATATTCGTTTTGTATAAAAATAATGGTTTCGTCAGTCGTCAGTTCGTTCAACAAAATATTATTAGAATCTTTTCGATTTTTGTTTCATTATATTGTAGGTGAAGAGTACTTTTAAGAAGTTAATTTATATATTAAGGACAGTGCCAAAATAAGTTACCTATTTGCTTGAAGAGATAACTACTTTTGATCATATTTTATACAATTTTGTAATATTTATACCTCTATGTATCATACCAAATTTTAACCTTTATTAAAAGTTATTTTAGTAAAACCCGTCTTTCAGAAACACCCTTGAGTCAGAGCTGGTATTACTGAATTGATAGCTGAATTGGGGAACATTTTGAGGGCATCATATCAAAAGATTGAATATTCTGAACAAGTTGGGACATCACATCAGCAGAGACAATATTCTGAACATGTTTGGACATCACATCAAAAGAGAAAATATTCTGAACAAGTTTGGACATCAAATCAGCAGAGAGAATATTCTGAGCAAGTTGGGACATCACATCAAAAGAGAAAATATTCTGAACAAGTTGGGACATCACATCAGAAGAGGGAATATTTTGAACAAGTTGGGACATCACATCAAAAGAGAAAATATTCTGAACAAGTTGGGACATCACATCAGAAGATGGAATATTTTGAACAAGTTGGGACGTCACATCAGCAGAGAGAATATTCTGAACAAGTTGGGACATCACATCAGAAGAGGGAATATTCCGAACAAGTTGGGACATCACATCAAAAGAGGGAATATTCTGAACAAGTTGGCCACACTCCCAAGACGACTATGTGAGTCTGCACCCTATTCTTTCGTCTGAGTCGATATTTAATCGGAAAATTATAACCAGCAAGTGCTGCTAACCATATGTGACCAGTTTGGCTGTTGTCAAAATGTATGTGAGTGGGTTATTGTCTGTATATACTGCAAACCTGTTGTTGTAAATGTACTGGTGAAACGTTTCGGACACTGCCCATTTCAACGCAAGAAACTTTAACTTGTGCTCTGGATAATTACGCTCTGACTTGGATAAAGATCTGCTTTCATATCAGGTTGTCCTGCTCCTGATATAACACAGCTCCCAGACTACGTCCACTGGCGTCAGTATGGAGTACAAATGGCTTCCGAAAGCCTTCATACGCCAATATTGGTGGATTGAAATTACATTGACGAAGTGTGTTGAATGCAGATTCACGTGTTTCCCCCCAGTCCCAATCTTTGGATGATGCTGAACCATGTTTCTTTTTGGTGGGACCTCCAACTAACAACTCATTCAAATCCTTGGCGATCTTAGAGAAATCCTTAATATATCGTCTGTAATAGCCGACAAATCCGAGGAATCTTCTTAATTCATCACTATTTGTTGGTCGAGGCCACTTGGCAACTTTCTCGGTTTTAGAAGGATCTGTTTCTTCTCCATTTGCTGATACGATATGTCCAAGATATTTCACCTTTTCTTGAAAGAAATTGCATTTCTTTGGGGATAATTTTAAACCATACTGGTATAGTTTTGAAGACATTCTTTCAATATTATGTTCTTCATAGATCTGACTGAAGATTATTAAATCGTCGATGAATATGGTTCATATCTTTAGGTTTAGTTCTCCCAAACAATCCTCCATTAAACGTTGGTAGGTAGCGGATGCATTTGTAAGCCAAAATGGCATTTTATTATACTCGTAAAACCCGAGTGGTCCAACAGTAAATGCTAATTTTGGTTTATCCTCCCCTTTATGGCAATTGGTAATACCCGGACTTCATGTCTAACACAGAAAAATATTGGGCACCTGACAGGTGATCAAGTAATTCATCAACAATCTCTGATTGTCTTCTTATTGAGTAGTCGGTAGTCCACACACATCCCTAATAATATATCTTTCTTCCTGGCTAATGTCATGGGAGAGGCATATGGGCTGTGACTTCGGCGTATAATGTCATTATCGTGCTGTGAAAATACAGACGACCAGTTTTTAATAAAATCTTTTAACTCTTGTTAGATTCCAATGCAGCGTTGCAAAAGTCAATCTCATCCATGAAGTTCTTTTCTATCGGCTGGCAATCATATGGACTTACTGATGATGTCTACTGCTACTAACTCATATAATTCTCACTTTAGATGATGATAAATTGGATATTCGCACTAATACTTGAGTAAACAAATCGTCTGGATCAACCTCCATTATGGTAGGTGTAATCTCAACATAAGATGGTGGTTTAGATTCTGATGACTTCTGAAAAGGTACATGTTGCTTTCTGAGTAGTGTGTACTTTTTTATCCTTCCTGTCAAACAAACAGACTGGTTACTGTGTAGAATGGTGGACTTGGGCTCTTAAAATTTTACTAAACCAACTGTGTTGTGTAACTTGTGTAGTACATTTTCTTGCATCTTCATGCACTGAAATGTCATAGTCCATGTTTCTGGTAACGGGGCCATAATCCACAAGAACCGGCTTCAGGATGTTGGGTTGTGGAGTTGAAAGCAGTGTCAGGGACAACAAGAAATATTCCAGCAACATTGGAAGTGCCAAAGCTTGGGATTGAAAGGTTCAAACAAACAGATCCAAGATACGGCAAATTATGTCCTGCAGCACGTTCAACTTGTATTATTTCATCTAGTGGAACTAAAATCGAGTTGACAATTTCTTAATCAGCAAGGTTACTGATGCTTGAGGACCTCAAATTTCCATATAACAAAAGAAGTATCATTCTTAGCTGTTGGATCACCTGAGAATGTTGAAATTCTTGGTAGGTTCGGTGATGAAGTTGTATGTACTACCTGATGTAAGCCAGAAGTTGGTAAGCTGGTTGTTGGTTGTTGTATCTGTGATTGTACCTCTAACTTAACAGGATTGGTTCACGTCCAAAGGTGTAATATTAACATCAGAACCACCCGTTGCACCTTCAACATCCTCTGATTCAGAATCAGACATCTTAGTAAATTGAAAATACAAGTTGCAAAACTTGAAAATATAAACCATATGGACAAAAACTATCATTTGCATGCATACGAATATAAATTAATTCGCATACGCGAAAGGCCTTTATACGCAAACACGAAATAATGCGCAATTTTTTTAACTACGGAATATTGTTCACATAAAAGAAAAGTGTAAACATGTACAGAAATATGTTAACACCATTTGATACGCAAAATGATATTGTTGTATGACCTGAAATAAAAATGAATTCGTATAAGTCAATATGTAATTGGCAGAAGATATCAAATATTTTGATATCACATGTACACAATACTTACTCCTGATACCGAGAGGAAAAATAGTCTGAAAAATAAAACAAATAGTCAGTGTTATATATATATATATAGTTAAATGAGATCAATAACGCCGATAAAAATAGTTAATATTTACTGCCAACATGTTTCAATTTCATACTTTCAAGGCATAGTAACAATACAATACACAACAATATGACGTCATATTTTCTATAGGAGATATATTAATATGATAGATATTTACACTATTGGAAAAAGAAAAAGAAACAAAATGTACATAAAGATCAAACTAATCCGTTTAATTTAGGTTTTAGTTTCTCAATGAAATATAGATATATATTAGTGCAATGTGTTAGATTTGATGTGCATGCCACGTGTACGATGGATCCAAAGATAAAGGGAAAGGTATAGATAGAAAGAAAGCAAAGCTGAAAAACAAAGCAATCAAGAAAAAAAGAATATAGAGATAAACTAATTTGAAGACAATAGAAAAATAAACCTCATTATACTAAGTTACCTGATGGAATCAACTTAAGTTTGAAAACTAATAGTAGAATTAAAACTATAAACTTGATAGACAAACAACAATTAGCAAATGGAAATTAATCTATGAACAATTATTGCAATCTAAAACATTAAAAGTAAACTTGTATAGTGTTTATATGTATGTATATATGTAGTGGAATAGACCTAGGCTAGTACTATGAAATTATATAGAATACTAACACTTAACCATAAATAACTTAAAATAAATTTTGAAAATTAAAGAAAAAAAATATAATTCTAAATTAAATTTGAAAATCAACTAAAAAATGTTTAGTTTAGTTTTCTTAAACGGGGGGAATATGTAATAGAGGCAATATATTTTAATGGTAAATCATTTCAATTTTAGATCAACTGAGTGAACTCTCCTTTCTTCACTCACTCATGCTTATTTATCTTTTTCTTTCTCTCCATTGGTCTGTCCTTAGTTTCAACTTGTGTATATTTGTTACCCCAGGATTGTGACTATTTCCTATAGTTTTGTTTTCATTAATTTCATATATTTCAAAGTGGAAGGTGATTCAATTACCTTATTTATAATAAAGTTTATCAACCCATAGATGTGTGGTTAACCCTAATTCCTGGCCACTCATTTCAATAATAAACCCAGGTCAGGTATTATGATAAGATTGTCTAACTTAATGAAATGAAATAAATGGCACCTAATTGGGCTAATGAATACAGACAATGCCATATAGTGTGCAGCGAGGTGAAATTTTGTCAGGACAGTGACTGCTGGTTTTCGATTCCCAACTGTCCCGGAATCTTTAAAGTGCACAGCCTGTAGATCATGGGACCTCAGTTTATTGTCTTCACATTATAAACAATCCCTACAAGAACCATTACGTTAACTTAACTATTTACATAAGTTGAATTACCTCATAA